GCCACTGCCGAGCCCGCATTAAAAATTCACATGTAAAAAAACCCAGATTGGTTTAAACTTCCTCTAACCCTCATTTAATACATATTGAAATAATTAGGGTTAGAAAAGTGATTTTATGTTTCACACCGATGCCCAGCAAAGCATATATTCTACACAATTTTTGCATTATTGACAGCATGAAGCTATAATGAGGGTCTGAATGGGGTTAACTGACTACTGACATTTGCCTGAATTTTTGACTGACAACTGACAAAATATCCTAACTGACAACTGAGAAATGATGAAAAAATGACGAGTCAGCTTTTTTGCAGTAACTGACTACTGACAGCTTGCAATATATCGCACTGACAACTGACAACTGGCTTAAATTTTAGCTGACAACTGACACCCAAAGACCCCCATTAAGACCCTCTACAATCAAGGATTCCCATTTTATACAATACATTTTATCAAGGGCCCCCCAAAATTTTGCCAGGGGGGCCCAAAATTTTGCCAGGGGGGCCGGGCCCCCCGGCCCCAGCCCTGGCTACGCCTCTGCTTGGTGGTATTAATATTTGTACTAATACCAATAAGTACTTAGTACTACTTATACTAATACTTAGTAATATTGATATTAGTATACTACTTATACTGATACCAATAAGTACTTAGTACTACTAATACTTAGGACTAAGTATTAGTATTAGTACAAATTTGTATTAATACTAATACCAAATATTAATACCACCAAGTGAAGTGCAAGAAACCAGATCATTGAGGTCCACCTTATCACGGCCAGCACACCCGATCACCTATATATACATGAACTTGCGGTTACAGCTCAACAGCTGGCCTCTGTAGCTCAGTTGGTTAGAGCGCTGCACCGGAATCGCAGGGCCGTAGGTTCAATTCCTGCCAGAGGACCTTGTGCTGCATTTTTCGCAGTCGTTCCTGGTCAGGTCTTAAAAATGTATATATATATATACTCACTTGGATTACAAACCCCTAAGAACAGCATTCAAATATTAATACCACCAAGTGAAGTGCAAGAAACCAGATCATTGAGGTCCACAATATTCCCTTTGGCCTGAAATCACATTGTGTATCTGTTCGAATGTCAATGATGTAGTGCATTGTATGTTGGCCACACATAATATATTTCGGAGCATAACGCATAAGGGAGTTTCGGCTTCAATTGTTAATGATCTGTCTGCGGCTTCAAATATGTCTGCTATTCGCGCTCATAAATACTTGCATGAACACCCACTTTCCGAATCTAACTTTAAGGATAATAATCTTTCTTTGGGTACTTAACTTCTGAATCTGATCTTCTTATTCGTGAAAGCTTATTAATTTCTAAAATGAACCCAGTCCTTGATGTTATAATATTTACTCCTCTTGAGTTATTCTAATTAACTGTTAATTATACTAAGACTCTAAGTCTAAGAAAATGTAATATAACATTAATGATCTGGTTTCTGGCACTAAACTTGGTGGAATTAATATTAGAAAGCTGTTTTCAGGGTTTGTAATCCAAGTGAGTATATATAACTTTTATTTTAAGACCTGACCAGGAACAACCATATGGGAACAACTGCGAAAAAGTGCAGCACAAGGTCCTCAGGCTCAGGCAAATATTTCTATTTAATAATTTAATATTTCTATTGAATTTTAAACAATGTTTATCTTTTTGGTTTCATTACATTTACAACTATATATTGATTATTGGGCCTTCAATGGAGATACGCATCGCAATCCAAACATCAGTAGCGGTCATAGACAGTGTATACATGCACTGTGCACAGGCGAAAATCTGACGTGAGTCAACAGGTACGGGATTCTTTATCGATTTAACGTTTTCATTTAGCTTTAGGTAAACGAGTTATGAAAAACAATTCATTCATTTGTTTAATTATTTGTCGTTAAAAATTGGGTTTCAGTTGACGGGAAAGCTATATACATGTTTTTATTGGCAAACAGGTAGATGAGCAGCGGTTTGTATTATAGCAGGTACCACATAATATGGAACGCTTATTGTATATGCATACATATATATAGACAGGATTATTTTGTCAGGATGCATTGATCTCGCCAGTTAGGTTGCTCGGGGAGCGTTTTTATCCACTATCGTGTCTAACCATATTTACTTATACAGCATCGAAATACCGACATTGAATAATGGGATGTCGAGCAAATGCAAGAACCGTTTAACAGTCTTTGGATAACAACGAATGTTTGGCAGGATCTTAATTTCATATGACGGACAACCTCTTTCTGGCGTACTTTCTTTCAGCTGAGGCAGTTGACTTATTATTTGACGACATCTTAGACTTACGTCGACTTTAAATGTATTTGTATGAAGTAATTTTATACCGTTTAAATTGTCCCACCATATACCGTTACGCTGTTTACTTAAAGATCATAATAGTGACAAATTGGCGTGTTAATTAAAATGATGTGTGGAGAAGCTAAACGTTTAAATCCACCTGGAGGTTAAAGTAACTTTGAACCGACTATGGAATATCTGGTAATATCAATCTCTATTAATGTGTTAATTGTTCTAACGCCTTTTCTTTTGATGAAAACAGTTGATGCAGTACTACACTTTCAACCTATTAACTCAGGGGGTATTAAGCAACAAGAATTGTACGTTACGAAAGGAGTTGATCTGAAAATAAATTGCTTGTATTCTTTAACTGAAGAAATTTCCTCCAAAGTAAACTGTCCCGAAATATTTTGGCAATGGAATGAAAGACGCTTTGAAAACCGCAACATGTCAATTAGTCAATGTTTATCCATCTTGCATATTGAGCAGGTCTGGTGGAAAGGAAAACAAACATTCTTTTGCATTTATAAAGGATACACAAATAACAGAGAAGTGGTTGAAAATAAAAGTTTAGTGATAATCTCTGGTGAGAAACCAAAACACGTTCCACAACCCTCAATACGATGGATAGAGGATGTAGTGGAGATAACATGGATACCAAATACAGGCAATAATACCATGACAGGGACTAATTATACTGTAGAGTATTTTGTACCACCTGAAAATGTTCAGAATATAAAAACCATTTTACCAAATTTTTGTGGCGTTTCACTCTTGAATAATTGCAGTCACAGAACAGAATATTACTGCAGAGCGTCGTTCCCGTCGTTATTAATGACAACCTATAATGTTAAACTTGTTGCTGAAAACAAGTTCGGAAGGACGGCAGGCAAAAATATGAAAGTGATTATTCCACTTCTTCAACAGAAAATGGCGATAAAACCTGCCAAAAATCTCAGAGTATTTTTGACGAAATCCGGAGTAGGAATGAAGTGGAGCGGTTCTTCACAAACAGAACGGAAGAAAGTTTGGTACAAATGTCAAGGAAGTTCCATTATTCATAACAACTTCACAAACAGTGATAGTTTTGAAATTCCAAAGGATAAATTACGAGCATTTACTTACTGTAGATTTTGTGTAAGCAGACAGAAATATGGTGGTGGTCAATTTTCATGTTACAAGTGCAATGTTATAAAAACCGCTGAAGACATCCCAAATGAAGTTCCAAAGCTAAAATCATGTCAGAATAATTCCTGTCCATTTGTCCCTTTTGGTATTTACAAAAACGTTACAATTTCATGGCGACTACCAAACAAGCGATCATGGAATGGAATAATAAGTCGTCAGTTGATATTTTACTATGAAGAAAATGAGCGAAGGCTTAAGAATATCACTGTACGAGACAGCAATGTCACAGAATGGACATTGGATAAACTGAAAATCGACAAAGGATACCATGTGTTTATGGTTATATGTACAGTTGCAGGATGTAGTAGAAAAAGTAATGTTATTTACATTACTGGTTCAGTCGAATCATCCGTATCATTTGAATTTCCATTCTTCTCAGATAAAGCTAACACAGGACTTGTTGTTGGACTTACCCTTGGCATTCTTGCGTTGTGTTTTGTTTTTATCTTTGTCTTCCTTTATATAAAACGTCACGAAGGAGTGACGCTACCACCTATTCAGGAACCTCAGGTTGCAACCGGTACCGAACAAAAATCAAACCAACAATCACCACCACAAGAAGCAGAGTATGATCTACTGGAATGGAGAAATAGCGCTGAGCCATAAACAATATATTGAATTCAATGAATATAATATTATAATTTATAATGACAACCATTACTTAATCACGCTCGGCGCGCGAGTATATACGCGTTTGCGAGGTACACACGTAAAAACGCACAAGTTGTTACAAATCTGTAAACAAGTTGTTACAAATATGTTCACTTAACAACTTGTAACAAGCTTGATGGCATTGTCAGACTTGTCACAAGGTTGTTCTAACAAGTCTGATACAGTCATGTTAAACATGAATGTTACAAGTTGACGACACAAGATTGTAACAATACTGCTATATCCTGACTGTATCCGACTTGTTGGAACAACCTTGTAACAAGCCTGATAAATGATAATATCAACAAAGTTGTTACAAATTGTTAACAGCTTGTTCCAAACTTGTTGACAACTTGTGACAAGCAGTGCGAAGACAACTTGTTGACGGCTTGTTAACAAACTTGTTACAAGATGTGAGATTTTTGCGTGAGTGTAATAGAAACTAACAGCACGAATTAAATTTCTATATCTACTATATATATCTTTCCATGCGGCCTACGGTACCAACTTTCTTCACCATTCACGTCAAAATTTTCATTTGGCATTTATCAGTATTTTTCTGTAATTTTTAGTGACCGATTTTTAAAATTTTGTACCGAATTTTGTATTATTCTGTATATGTCTATTCATCATGTGTCCATGACAATATTGCTTTGCAAATACTAGATCGGAGTCTAGATAATTTATCGCAAGAAAATATGACAAAATGTGATTGAAATGAAGCTATGGATAGGTCATAATTTATTGTAAATTTGTAAATATTATTAGTATAGTATAGATAGGCTAAGATAGCACTTTAACATTTTTATACTTTAGGTACAGTAAAAAAGTGTAATTACATACATTGATATAGATTCGAGTGCTCTTGACTTAATACAACTTTTGTGGCCGGATATCTTTGTTATTTTTCTGTTTGATTACGTAAAAAAGTCAAATAGCCGGGCAGTAATTCATGAGCAAGACACAAAGGAAACCAACACTCAGCGTATCGCTGTCTTGATTATGTCTAGTTTATTTGGTGCGATATTCCCCGTCCAGGCCAGTGCCGCCGAGAGGTACGTGGGGGGAGTCACTTTGCCCGGGCCTTAATCTCAAAAGGCCCACCCCCAAAGCGACGGAAGCCTTTAAATTTTCTTGATACAAAAATTGCTTAACCAACCAAGAATATATCAATCCCAGCTGCTACAGTGCCGGATAAATAGAGAACAAGATGCTCCTATAGAGCGTTAACTCGCTGGGGCTATACAAATACGCACATTACTGTATATGATACATACAGTACACAGCTACTGTATCCCGTGATTTCAATTAAGATTTATGCCTGGTTCACACTGGTCGTAAGAATCGGGGATTTCCATTGTCTGTGATCATTGGTGTGTAAAATGCTTTCTCTGTCGGAAAAGAATACAATAGATTGTCGATGAATTACGATCAGGGTGAACCAGGCTTTAAGGTTGTCCCCGAGCTAAGCGGAAAAGTCGAATACGAGCGCAAAAGGCTTAACACAGTACAAAAATGCAATTTGGTGCCCTACAAATAAAACTTCCGGCGTTTCCGCCTACAAGTACAGTTATATTTAACATTCTTCTGTCGGCCGCTGGCCGCCGCCAGTTGGTCCGTACACGGTGGTATTTTTATTCTTATTGCGCCATTAGGCAATACAAATACAAGGGCAAACATACTGCCAACCTCGTTGCCAGAGTATTCGCACCCTGGGAACAAGGTTGACATACTGCGAGTGATTTGTCAACAAGACAACAATACGTACTGCGAGCGACTCGTCAACAATACAATTTCGCTTGATTTTCAAGGGCCATAAATCGCTAGAATATACTGGGTGTTTTATGATACATTTGACATCCGCAATTACAATTTCCTACACTGAATCGAACGGTGGTATTTTTGTTCTTATTGCGCCATTTGGCAATACAAATACAAGGACAAACGTACTGCGAGTGATTTGTCAACAATACGTACTGCGAGCGATTAATTGTCAATACAATTTCGCTTGATTTTCAAAGGCCATAAATGACTAGAATACTGGTGTTTATTAATACATTTGACATCCGTAAGTACAATTTCTTAATACGGTGGTATTTTTATCCTTATTGCGCCATTAGGCATTTATACAAATACAATATCATATTTCACACTACAGTTTTCACGTTTCCCGGCAGCTAACTATTAGGGACTGTTGTTAGATCGATACATTCGGATTTTCAGAGTCGTGCACCAAGAAAAGTGCATTAAATAAACTACCAAGAATGTCCAGAGTTAGACACAATGCAAAATCCATAGAAAACAGGTACAATTCGTTCAACATTTTAACGAAATTGTTTGAAACATTTAAATTGCCCACTCCACGAAAGGCCCCGCCATTTTGAAAAGGTCAAGCAGCTCATAATATTCTATTTTGTGGCTATCAACGACGATTGGAGATTGCCGATCCATTAAATTATGCCGAAACCTATACTCGCCTGGGGCACAGTGCCCCAGCGAGTAATACATGGGTGCGCGGAAGTACAAGATTTATTTCGAGTGTTGAACATGATCGCGACCGAGTGAGATATCATGTTCAACACGAGAAATAAATCTGGTATTTCCAAGCATCCATGTAGAAAGCGGTAATTGAAAAGCGATAATTTTCACATGTGAAATTATCATAAATAATCTCACATGTGAGGTTATCAGTTTTATCAGTGCTTTAAATAGTACATAAAACACTATACTTTATATAATAATATGCAATAATTAACTACTGGGGCCCAATTTTTCAAAGCTGGATTAGCGCTAACCCTCGGTTAACAGTAACATTAGTTCTGACTTCATGTATTTCTGCATGCACATCTGCTTATTTTAAAACTTCGGACGGAGGAAAACGTGAGTCCTACTGATCCAGACAAGATTTCTGAATAAATATTTCCAAATTTGTAAACAAGCTGTTGGGAAGTTTGCTTTGAATTTTAGGTTATTAACCTAGTTAAGCTTATCGGCTTTTGAATAACCGGCCCTGGGCCCTGTGCAACCTCTTGGTGGCCCTGTCCAAAACCAAGGGCCTGTACTGCCGTCTCAAATAATATGGACCTCCGTCATTTTGGGAGCCGGGGGACAGAGCAAATTTAATACGTACCGCTGGTCGGCATGGTCAAATCGTGGTGAGAATTTTGGTTACACGTGTAAAAACGCTGAGGCCGCTGTTTAAAGGGATATGGCAATATATTTTTTTATTATTTCATTGAAAGAACTTTTAAAATTATATGTTAATCTCCTTTACCGATTTTGCGTAACTTTATTATTTCTTGAAATATTTTGACTTAAAATAATTTGTTGTCCGCGATTTTAGTGACGTCAAAAGCAGGGTTAGCCATATAAAACTACATCTAAATGACCAAATAACATTAAGTACGTCTTGTTTGAAAAGTCGTCAGACAGTTTTTTATTTCAAATAGTTACTGAAGTATATGACTTTGGGCTCATAATAACCAATTCAGGCTCCATGGATAAAATTATTGCGTGACCCTGCTTATGATGTCACATGCACATCCGCCAAAATCCAAGATGGCGGAAAGAGCTCGCTGATTTGTGATTTTTTCTGTTCAAATATCTCAAGAAATAATAAAGTTACGCAAAATCGGTAAAAGAGATTTACATATAATTTTAACAGTTGTTCCAAATGAAATAATAAAAAAATATATTGCCGTATCCCTTTAACAGAATTGAACAATGTTTTGCTGCCCACGTTGTTCTAACGTTGTTCACACTTGTCAACAATATTGAACAATATTGTTGAGCCTGAATCAGGTGTAACAATATTGTTCAATGTTGTTGACAACTGTGAACAATGTGGGCTGCAAAACATTGTTCAATCCTGTTTTCATCAACATTGCAACAACCTGATCGTTTTTAGCCGTGTATCGTTCCATGTTTCGCGCACCAATATAGTTTAGGGTTATGGGTTAGCGTTAGGGTTAGGTTTAAGGTTAGGGTTAGGGTGTGTATATATGTATATGGAGGTATCCAGTTGACTTTGCAGTACACTATAATATCCATTACATAACGTTATATTGTTTGCAAGAAACCTCAAATAAATAAATTTACTATTGTCTATACTGGGTTAAGTGGGTTTCTTCTCTTCCATTGTTAACATAGACAGCGAATAGCGATGAATATTAATATTTACGAAGTTGGGCATCTACTAAAAATACGTTTTAAGCAAATGCCCTTTGTCTCAACGTCACTGAATAACTGAGTAATGTACATATAATACTTTTGCTAGGGAAAATGTTATTCCAGCGGAGAAGGTCGGAGGTAAGAAAAGCTGCCTGTTGTGCAACCTCGTTCCCAGGGTCTCTCCTTCTGTCATCTGGGAGAGACCCTGGCTGCGGCTGGTCACGTGCCTCCCAGATTCTGGGAGGTAAATTTAATTGTAACTGTGAGAGGGGTGGGAAAGGAGCGTGTTTGTAGCGTTTTAAAATTGCAACTTTGGGTGATGAAATTTACTGTAAATTTGCAACAAGAAATCGTAAAGAGAACTCCTAAATTAATATTTATATCGTGACGCTCTACTCTATAATCTGGTGTCGAGTTACAATTCAAGCAAGTTGGATCAGATTTCAATATTCAACTTTAATATAGATTTGCCAAAGAAAGCACGCTTGCCGCTTGTGCAGCGTGGCGAATGGCGATATTAAACCTACAAGAAAATATAGATCTCTAGACCGAACAGTGTGTTTGTTATTTATTTAGTATTAATGTCTGTCCTGATACTCGGACCAAAAGAATTTATTTATTGATGAGATGTGGAATTGCAACGAAATAGCGAGATCTTTTGATTTCCGAAATATCGCCAACTGTATCCAGATTGTTGATCTATATAAAGGCCTTATCAAAAAAACTTGTCAAAACACTATAAAATTGGCCCTCGGCATTGCTGAAACCAACGATCATGGTATATGTCAAAGTATAGCTGTCTGTTGAAAATCTACGGTATTAAAATCATACACCAAAGATAAGTCAAACGACAAATTATATGTCACTATATTATACATGTCTTTCAATGAGCACTATTTTTAGTAGTGTTCACCACCTTTATAAATTTTGTAAACAGCTTTCGTTTTGACATGAATAAGCTTTATTTTTTTCCTGTATATGCATTCTTAATAATACAAGTGAGATTTAAATTTTTGCTTTGACTTTGTGAAATAGAATACCGTTATTTTTTAATGGACAGCTTGCATCGTCTATATCATATCCAGGATTGCTTGTGTGTAAACGCATTATTCACTATATGACACCACGTTAACCGTGATGACACTATCAAATAAATATAAGTACTAAAATGATTAATGAATTAGAGATAAACAGGTGATTCACAATAAAAAACTTTAAAAATGTTAGTAGAAGTAGGCTAGAAAACTCGAAAATTTATGTCTATTCGTATGATGCCAATGACGCGGTCTGTGCGCATCTGACACTGTAAATTTGTGATATAGATTATAGTATGTTAACACAATATAATGATTAATAGAGAACAAAAAAGGCTAAAGTATTACTATAATTACCGAAAACGAATTATGTACTAAATCCAGATAAACCGGCCAATGACTGGAATTTCCTCTATACTTACAGACATTTCTCCGTTCGGCTATTATCAAATGTTTACATTTGCTAATATTGGGTCAGTCCTAGACAATACTGTTTCTTTTAAAAATCTTATAAACAAGACGCGTAGTAACAAGTGAATCGGTACAAAGCGTATCAACGTTTACAAGAAAGGACGGTCGAATGCAATGGCGTATTTTAAAAACATTACAATATTAAAAGGTTTGTTATAACCGCGCTCGATTGTGAAGAGAGCATGCATTGAATAACAACGCAAGAAAGCACGTACTGCGAGTAACGATTTGCTTTGTTTCTTGACTTGACTGTAAGTAAGAATGTTCTTGTAAATTCAAAGCAAAGAAAATAAACAAAAATTAGCAAGTATTTTGAACGTAATAATTCGCAAAATTTATGTTTTTAACGAATGTTCCACTGGAAGCATGTTTATGTAATTTGATACTTTCCCCACACCCCCTCAGGCGCTAAATTTTTGATGAGGCACGTGACCAGCCGCAGCCAGGGTCTTTCCCAAAGAAAGATCCTGGGTACGAGGTTGCCTGTTGTGTTGAGTGTTGAGGCGCGGTATGTACTGACTACTGTCCTAAGAACACTTAAAATATGGACCACTGACTGTATAAATATCAATAACCGCACCAGAAACTATTAGTATTAGAATATAGTTATTTATAAATTTTGTTTTCATATCAAAAATTATTTACACAATATATTTTAGTTTTGTTGCATGCGGAATTACATGTTTTAAAATGGTCTGATGATGTCCAGGCGCGCTGAAGTACAAAAGACTGGGTCGAGTAATAATATCAAATCAGACTTTATTTTTCCTCGTCATCATCGTGTTTTTTACTCTTTGAAAATTTTTTCTTGTGTTTGTTGGCTTTTTTGTCTTTTGGCGGACTTATATCTTCTATTTAGAATAAAACAAAGTGAGAAAAAAAGTTTAGTTACCTGAATGTATAAAAACAGGGCCCGCCCGGGAATTGAACCCGGGACCTCTCGCACCCTAAGCGAGAATCATACCACTAGACCAGCGGGCCACGCTTGAAGAAAGTGGGCATATGATTTATATATGTGGCAATACGATGACATAGATTTATGAAGTCATTTCCTAACAAGGGGGCCATGGAAATGAGTGGGAGGGGGGAGGGGAGGGGGTAGCATATTTCCTGTTACACTGTGATTAAAGGTCGATCGTCAACATCTTTGACAATGTCCTTTTTTCTTGACCGTCAGAATTTTTTTAGATTGACAGAGCAAAGCTTGGGAACGACGTTTCTCCATGGGGATTTCATTAGGGGGAGGATTAAGCCCCGACCACGCCTTACCACACCCATGATACACCCATTTTCTTAATTAAAGCACAGTCCTGTGGTTAGGGGCTTAACTTGCAGTGAGTCAAGAAATTTAGAACGGACACGCTTAATTGTTAATTCCATGATATAAGACTTCTAAGACACTGGCACTTCGTGGCCAGTGTGCCTTCCCTATCAGGCAACGTGTCCATGAGAAACGTCATATGGACATTTCTTTGGAGACCCCCCCAGAAACGTCACGCATAGTTATCGACATTTTGTTCTCATAGTACACATAGGGTAATTTTCTACTATTTTCTACGGTCGGCTATTGGCGATGCTTCAGCGAGGAATATGTCATCAAAATTTCCAACGTTTCTCAAAACAACTTTTTTGGGAAATATTATTGATAATTTTAGCGCGTTTTTCTTGAAATTTGAGTGTTTTCAATGCAAGGAAGGCGTAATAATATAAATGTACACGTATATAGAACATGTATGGTATTACGAATGCAATTTTTTTATTCTGCAAAGATGATTCCGAAATGTTAAGCCTTTCGAAAAAACTATCGAATTTTTCCATTACTGAGAAACGTCTGGCTTCTGTAACCCCAACGAACATATGACGTTTCTCGTGGAAAAAATCAATATGTGAGGCTTCCCTAACTTGTCCTTTTCTCTGGGTATCATCTATGGTATCATGCACCAACTGGAGTTCATAATGGAAAACGTGGTGCTAATCTGAGCCCATTTCACCATTTGCAATGTATTCCGTATTCAACTAATCAGTGGATGATTCTAGCTATACTAGACTAAATTTTGATCCAGACAAGAACGGGACGAAATCTATCTTTATAGGATAAAAGAACATCCTTAAAGGGGCAATGTCACCGATTTTTGAGCAATTCTAACTGCAAATTTTGCCCAAAACTGAAAAAGAATTAGTGTAAGCGTAAAAGGTGTAACATGTACGAAGAAGTCTGGATGGGCAAGATTACGCCAGGATTGAGATGGATTGTAAATGGCATCTTGATTAATTGTTGGCAGACACTTTTTCACGTTTTAGTCATTTTTTATGAAAGTGTCATGTTACATGTTGCGTGAAAGTTCAAAGTTGTTTAATATGACTCATATATCATAACTTAATCCATTTACAATGTTTATTTCTAACTTTGTAGTTCAGTTTTTGAATAAAAAGCATTTTAGGTAAAAAATCGGTGACATTGCCCCTTTAAATTAGTAAAACTGCCAAATTTGGTTGCAAAATCTTGTAAAATACGGAAATATATAGCCCAGTGAATTAGTGAAATTAGGACATTTTTGAGTATTTTAGTATTACGCACGGAAAAATGCACCACTTTTGAGCTGAGCGTTGTACTAAAATACTCAAAATTTGCTAATTTCACAGGGCTATATTTTTCGTATTTTACAATATTTCGCAACCAAACTTTGCAATTTACTAGCTCTTTGAGCTATATAAATGATAACTTTCGTCTTTCTTGTCGGGATAAAAAATTAGTCGATAGCTGGAATCATTCATTGCCATTGAATATGCATGATTCCGATGACGTCATTAGCATTGTATAAGGTAATATAAAGCTACTTAGCTTGGGATTAAATTATATGTCAGTTAGTCCATGCAGGAAAAACATTCTCCCCACGTACCCTACCCATCCCTTCTGCTGACTCATTGCTTTATACCCTTGCAAGCATGCGGCGTCGGGGTTTAACCGCCATAACTTAATGCTAATGAGGAAGTAGGAGGAATAAAGAACTATTTGAATAGCAATGAGAAAAGTACTGTGGTTTACTTCTCGATAGATTTACTTTGCCTGAGGAGATGAAACAGACTTTACTTTGTCCGACTGCACCTTTAGCTTTAGAGAATTAGAGTTTGAACGAAATTAAAATGCTTGACGCATGCCCAATTATATATTGGATGCCGTACTCACTACCTCAAGTCAATGACTAAAATGTTCAGGATGATGCAGTGGCTATATCCGCTTATCGAACGGTGTTACTCGCAGAGGGCGATTCCATTTGCATTAGTATTCCCAGTTTGACGGACCGTCGTACTCATAAGCCGCGTGAAACTCTTTTTAACGATATCAGGGTCTCGCAGGATTTTGGGCATCTTACACTAGCTCATCATCTACACTGGATAGAACTACAGTTAATAGATAGAACTCATTGTTGAAGGGTTTTGTAGATGGAAGCTTCGAGTGTGAGTTTTTTATACATTTATTAGACCTAACCAGGAACAGTTGCGAAAACTTCAATTATAGGCCCTCTGGCATGAATCAAACCTGCGTTCCGCTATAGCTAACGCTCTAACCAACTGAGCTATATGGAGTCCAGTTGTCAAGCTCTAACCGAAAGTTCATGTATAAATACTGAGGTGATGCCAATGTAAGGTGTATGGGTAACTATCAAGATTTTGGGCATCTACACTCGACGTGACTAATTGTTCAAGGGTTTTGTAGATGGAAATTTTCTTGTGCAAGTTTATACATTTATTACACCTAACCATGACTAGATGGCATCAGTGGCACCAGAGTATGAGAGAAAATAGCCTGAGTATACGAGATTGCAGTGGAGAACGGTGGGATTTTCAAAACAACTCGTGACTGCATGGCACTATGTTTATGCTACGTGTTATGCATTGACCATTCTGTATTCAACTTGTTGCGTTTCGCTGACTCAAGGATTAGGAAGATTGTGACATTAAAATGGAGTCAGAATATCCATGCGCGTTTCAAAGGCCGAGCCATAGAGTTTTTTTTACACATGGTGACTTCATTTAAGTTCGTGATCACAGTACACAGTAAATTAAACCTCTTATTATCCTGGCAATATACAGGAATGGTAAACTGAGTCTGAGTATTTGGAATCAGTATTTAGCACACACTTACTGTCATGATCAGGAACAGGGCGATGAGAATATAATATACCAGTGTGTCCCTTGTTAGTGGGTGTGGAAGCCATTTGTTGACCAGTCGTTTGTTGTGGTTGCTGATCATTTTGTTGTTGACCATACTGGGTCGGAACAGTACCATAACCTGAAGGATACTGACCATATGCTTGCTGGTTTCCAACCATATCTTGTGGTTGTTGGGCTGGTGAAACATATTGTCTCCCTTCTGATTTTACTGGAGCTACATTTTTAGATCTAGCTTTTGATTTTTCCGAATGCGATGGAAAACCTAAATAAATTGATTTTTTTAAGTTTCACAAAATAACTCAATGACCCGCGATATATATACTAGGGACAGATGATGCGTCAAGACGTATAATTCGGACGTAATTAACGCAACAAGTCGACTCATCCGTACAGATGACCTTATATAGGCTTAGGTTAAAAAAGATAGTTCGTCTGATAATTAGTCTGTGTGTACAAACAGAAAGATCATATTCGTTCGCAAGTTCGACTGAATAGACGAACTACGCAAATAGTTCGTCCTCACGGACGATCGGTCTGATAGCCCGCGTTTCTGCGCAGACACATAATATCAGCATGAACTATCTTTTCTTTCCCAAGTTCGTCCAGATCGATGGATGATCTGTCTTTGGAGTTGCATAAACGCGAGCCATGACATTGCCAACAACATGATGTCACTATAGTGTTGCAGGTGAACTATGCGGTCTGTCAACATGCCATTATATACAGTAAAGGTACCAGGTACGTTTACACACTGCGTCCGTGTACGACTCGTATTCAAGCGGATATAATCGAATATAAAGCACGCGTATAAAGTGGTTGCATTTCAAATTTCGCCATAATCTGCAGAATGAAGTGAGGAATTGTGGCGTCAGCAGTAAATTTCATAAGCCAGAATACGAATCTTTCACGACAAATCGCGGCGTGTAAACGTAGCTTTACGGCAAACTGAAAAGACTAAAATTTTTGGTATAACAATTTGAGTGTATATAATTGGAGCAACATGCAAATTCAAGTCGTCTACAACTTAAGTATAGGCTATATAATTTTTTTACAACGACAATCGCCGCCAAATCTTGTAAAAACGAATAGTTCAGTTTTATAGTCATATCTATTATCTTTCGCATTAGCCTGCCCTTTTCAATTGTATCGTTATTATGACTATGACAATAGAATAACTGGCGCACGTACTTACAATAAACTCGACGACTTAATCCTAATTTCAGCTTTAAGCATTTGCGCCAAGGGACTTAATTAACTGGTATTATAAATATACACGTTGCTGCAAAGACGTGTAGTTCTTGGTTTATAACCATGCATGCGGTCAGAATGACAACACACATATGATGATACCAGATTTGTTTCGAAGGCGTGTCTTTGATGTCGTGTCGTGTTTTCTAAATCTGTCTAATATTGCTAATGCTATGCATTCCACAAAGTTTTAATTATATTTTTGCATTGTGAGAGTTAATTACGTACACTATACAGTACAGGGTGTATAAAAAAAACGCAACCTCGGAATTTCCTAAGAAATCACTTTGCAATTCTTAAGCATAAAAGATTTTAAGCCCCTGGGAATTGAAATCGAATTGCTAATAGATCTTATTACCGTTGTTGTGCATTAAATAAATGCATAAATTTTGCTTTATGCACTCGCGTGTGCAATAATTTTGACATTTTAAATTCCCAGGCGCCTAAAATCTTTTGTCTTTAAAACATATCGATTTCTTGGGAAATTCCGAGGTTGCGTTTTTTTTTATACACCCTGTACAGGGTGTCCCCCAAAAAAGTGACACTATAGAAATTATCTCATTGTTCCTAAGCCGCTCTTAAACGCGCGTGATTACACGCCTGGGAATTTAATGAACTTGTATTTAATTTTATATATTTTAAAACGTTTTCGCTTTGTCCAAATATTTTAACGCCCGAGTCAAGCAAAACGATTACACTAATAAACGGTTTGCTTTTTTATTTTAAATTCCAGAAGCAGAAGTTTATGCACCTGTGGGATCAACTTAGTGCTAGGGCATTCAAATTATAACAATAGGATAATTTCTATAGTGTCACTTTTTTCTGGCAAACCCTGTACAGGGTGTATAAAAAAAAACGCAACCTCGGAATTTCCTAAGAAATCACTTTGCAATTCTTAAGCATAAAAGATTTTAGGCCCCTGGGAATTGAAATCGAATTGCTAATAGATCATATTACTGTTGTTGTACATTAAATAAATGCATAAATTTTGCTTTATGCACTAGTGTGTGCAGTAATTTTTATCATTTATAGACCTGGACTCTGGAGCGAAGGGGATTCGGCGAAATATTACCCGAAGTGATGATATTTCCCGAGGGGTTTTGCCCCGAGGGAAATATCATCACTGAGGGTAATATTTCACCGAATCCCCCGAGCGTAGGGTCTATAAATGATATATTATACCGAAAATTAAAAGCCCCAAGTTGAGAATTAAAACCTTGACACATAGTAACCTTCGTGAATACGATGTTTTATTTTCGGATTAACGCAAGTATTCGTCGATTTTCTTTCGAATCACATATCGTTTGGAATATTAATGACAATATTTTTCAAAATTTGCTTCAAAATTTTGAAAAAGCCCCAGGTTTTACGTTTAAAATTCATCACTCATCAATACTATTTATATTTTGTCGGCCATGTTTTTGTCATGCGTGTTGTCTCGCGCGGTCTACGCGAATAATGTTCCACCCCATGTTCCCCGGGGAACATGGGGTGGAACCAGCCTAGACCTAGGCCTTCTAGTCTTATTTATATTTTTTAGTATTCAGCGGTTTTTCACATGAAAAGACTGGGACTAGGTGATTTGGGGGCGGGGCGGAGGAAGCAAGATTTTCGCTTGCATCAGGCTTGTGTCCTTCCTCCGCCCCGCCCCCAAATTACCTAGTCCCAGTCTTTGCATGTGAAAAAGCGCTGAATATTAAAAAAATATAAATAAAAATAGAAGGCCTAGGTCTAGGCTGGGGTGGAACATTGTCAAAAGGAACGCAGGCTCGCTAATTGATGGCGTAAGGCGTGATATCGCGATTAATTTCATGCTCACGTGGCACAAACTAAGCTTCCTGATTGGACAATTTGAATTTGAGGTATAATATTGACAGTTATGCTATTTTAAATTCCCAGGCGCCTAAAATCATTTGTCTTTAAAACAAAGTCGATTTCTTGGGAAATTCCGAGGTTGCGCTTTTTTTGATACACCCTGTAGTCTATACTAAAACCACTGATAAAATTCATTTTATACCTTGACACAAAGCGGGAAGAATAAACAACAGCATATAAAGTCGGTTCATACTTCGTCGTGTCTCTCAGACCACTAAAGGTTGGAAGAAAATAATTAATGTAATATAGCGTTATTTATGTTTGTTATCTACCTATGTGGGCACTACTGAGGCTATTTCCCTCCGCCTAAATTGAATCTAGTAAACCGGCTGCTGCGGGAGAAGAGAAGCAGCCCAACCAATGCGCCTGGCCCCAGCCGTCTCCGCGAATAGTTTTTAATCAGGGTTAGCGTTAATTCTATAATTGTTTAACTTATTATTATCTAAATTCCAATCAGGTTTTCGGTCCTAAACACTATACTTTGTCAGTTTTAATTAATTCAAATGTGCGATGAATCATTGTGAGAAAGTATGGATAATGGTAAAATCAATGGCGTTGTCAATTTCTTGATATCCGAAAGGCCTTTGACTCGAAAACCATAAAATTTTATTGTCTAAAATGAGCAAACAGTCTGTGGTTTCGAATGCTGAGTTACGTTGGTTTGAATTTGACAAATATAGGGAACAAGCATGCATGCATGTTACATTAATGGACAAACATCGTCAACGAAAACAGTTGTGTATGCATACAGTGTTCCACTTCTCTTTTTATTGGCTATGTAAACGACTTGCCAGATTGTCTTCTGACGACGTACTCCAATTTCCACATCTTCTCATATGACTTCAAACTTACGGACAAATTATTCACTTGATGATTTGTAAAATAGGCCTATTAGTAATTGGCTTGCTATAAAACAAGGTGTAACCTCATGCATGAAACCAAGGCTTAGTTTAATTTAAACGTCGCTCTTGTGTCGAGACAAATTTAATTCTAATACATGCGTCTTAACAGCATCGTAAATGACAGGTATTCATATACGTCGGATTTGTGAAGGATCTAGTTCATAATATTGACAAGCTTATATGAAATATTGGATGGTTTATTCCTGATGCATCCGCCATCTTTGTTTCAGTGAAAATTGTATATATGGTATGCGCTAACGTGCGATTAGGTATCCGAGCACCCGGCCTCACTGCATGTTACATAAACATAGGCCAAAAATCTGACAAAAATTTGACTGAAATCTATCGTATGAATACATGCCGGTGTTGTGACAGATAATCCATGATGCTATTACATATTTTACTAGAGTTTGACCAAGATTTGAAAATTGTAGGCCTATTTATACGTCGCTCTTATCGGATAAGTTTAATTGTGACGGATCAGTTTGAGAAAATAATTATTTGACTCGACACAAGAGCGACGATTGAACTAAGCCTAAAACAAACCAAGGTTATGTTCATCGGATCTTCACAAATCTAAACCTTATATCATAGTGCATGGTAACAAAGTCTTCGATTGTCCTGGGTTTTTTTACTAATAAACCAGCATGTCAAACTCCGGATATCACATTGCCGGCCATGTCCAACAGAGCAGAATGTCTTTCGCAACAATAAATATCTGATATATCCACCAATCTCATCGATTCAGTCCATTTCAGTAATACTCATGATCAGGATCGATTGTATTGTGCAAAGTGGCTTGTATATCAAGCGCGACGGATGAACACTGATTTAAAAATTTAGTAAATTTTGAGAAACGCCTTGAAATCATTGTATATATATACCATATATATACATATATGTATATATATACATATATATATATATATATATATATATATATATATATATATATATATATATATATATATATATATATATATATATATATATATATATATATGAGGCCCATTTTTTAGAGACATGGTAAATATCTCCTTATGAGAACAATTCATTCACAAACGCTGCAATATTCGACTATTAAGCTTGAAACTTGTGCTCCCATTAAGCTTTGCGCGCTTAGAGTTTAAGATTTAAGGTTTAGAGTTTAAGGTTTGCAAAGAACAACCTTTTTTGAATTGGCTATATATATATATTTAAAATACTAATTAATAATTCATAAACCTTGTGGCAAATCATGTCAGCCATAATAGATAGCTTAAGATCTACGACGTCTACGTCAGCTAGGACGTCAGGACTAAGCAGAGGACTGGGACTATGACGTCGTCCTAAGTAAGTCGATAGCTCGAGTATCTACGACGTTAAATATTTAGCGCGGCAAGCGGAATTAAATTGGTAATAAGTTGAAGTGTGCATGTGTCTCTCTCAATTTGCTCGTCGTCCACCAAACGTCAACAACCTCACGAGTTTTACCGTCGTAAATACACGAGCATGACAAAGGGTAATGGTTCACACGCCTCTTTTAAATTCATTTTCAAAAGGATGTAAATATTTATAGTTTAAATGTCTACGTCGTGAAACTTAGGTGGAAGTTTACTTTATTTCATTCTCGTACCCAGAGCCCTTCTTACGCGCGGTGCGACAAGGGGCTCTGGCCAAATCCATATTCCGAACTGGCATCTGATTGGCTAGTTCTAACACCGGATATTGTTTTCTTACCATGTTTTTATGGTATCCGGTTATGGATTTGGCCAGAGCCCCTCGTCGCACCGCGCGTAAGAAGGGCTCTGGGTACGAGAATCACTTTATTTAGGACGACGTCCTAGTCCCAGTCCTCTGCTTAGCCCTGACGTCCTAGCTGGCGTCGACGTCGTAGATCCTAAGCTATCTAATATGTCACGTGGAGTGACTTTATATCTGATAAAGCATGTAGCATTATATAATTCTTCATCCTAATTAGTATGATCATATAATGGTTCATCCTAATTAGTATTCTTTTGTAGTCGTATTTTAAGCTATTCAAAACACGAGTAGGAGTGTTTTATCAGACATAAAACGCTTGGCTGCGCCTCGCGTTTTATATCTAATAAAACACTCCTACTCGTGTTTTAAATAGTAATATATATATGTATATATATATATATATATATATATATATATATATATATATATATATATATATATATATATATATATATATATATATATATATATATATAAATAAATATATTTTTATATATATATATATTTAAAGGTATATACAAATAAGTATATAAATAAATAAATACTAGTTAACGTAACGGCAATAATTTTAACTTTACGCACACCATGATGAAGTATATCAATAGGCCAAAAGAGTGAAGAGCCCAGGCTCAGATATACATGCATGACTAGTGCTGTAGGCCTATATATATATATAGCAAGGTTATGACTTTAAATTTACGATTCAATCACTGCGCGGTTCAATCAAGGCAAAGAACTATATAAGGTAAAAAAACTTACCTTTTGACGTTATATGTTGTGTTGGAATGTATGGTTTAATAATCTACTTGAATATTTTGGAACAAATTCACTGAGGCATGAACTTCTCTCTCTATACAATTATGTCATACTTAGCCACCTGCATTTGTGTATATATATATATATATATATATATATATATATATATATATATATATATATATATATATATATATATATATATATATATATATATATATATATATATATATATATATATATAATGTCCCACATTCGTGAGGCATCAAAGGTAACTGTAAATAGCAGTTACTTTCATCCTGCTCATCAGCACTACACGAGGCCCATAAGGCCAAAACGGTGCCGTCATATATACACAGGATTATACACAGGATTATATACAGGATTATCAGGCCTCAAAGTTACCGGATATGACATCAAACCGGGAATTGCAAAGTACACGGGTAAAAATTGATCATGTTGTTCGGCGTTGTTCAAAACAGGAGCGAACAATGTTGTGCTGCACCCCGTGAACAATATTGTTAACAAGTTGTTCAACCATCAGTACTGTTGCAACTTGTTAACATGATTGTCAACAAGTTGCAACAATATTGATGGTTCAACAACTTGTTAACAATATTGTTCACGGGGTGCAGCACAACATTGTTCGCTCCTGTTTTGAACAACTTGCATCAACATGATGATTTTTACGCGTGTAGATTTCTTTTGTTTCCAGCGTATAAAATTCCCGATTTGATGTCATATCCGTAACTTTGAGGGCTGCTGAATCCTATGAAGATCAAGGCCGGCGAGAGGGGGGAGGGCAGAGGGGGCAAACTACCCGCTGGCCCGGAGTGCTCAAAGGGGCCCGGAAATCGTCGTGATCGATCGTAAAACGTATCAAATGTGAAATAATCAAATAAACGACTTTTATTAGCTGAACATCGTTCACTACATCATTGCGTTTTTATCAGTTATGCGGCGATTTCTTGCAAGTAATTCGCTGGCAATTCTCTCGTTGATTGCGATTAAAAATAGACTTTGGCGTGGCCATGCGCCATCGGGAGAGTTGAGAGGGCCCGTGTTCGCCAATTCGTCATGGGCCCATGGTTGGCTCTCGCCGGCGTTGATGAAGATGGTATATTTTCTTGTAAAGATATATTGCATTTCTTCGTAAAATGCACCAAAGATAAAAAAGATTTAAAATTCCAAATCATGACATAGGCACTTTAACCATGGATTGTAAAATAACATTGACATTGTTATTTTACACACCTTTATTTAGAATTTATGTTCAGAATTCCTGTTTTTAAGGAAAATACAACAGCACAAGAAGCACTTCATATAAAGAGCAATGTAAAGACGCTTAAATTTCAATATGGCATCTGTCTGGAAGCGATTATCTTGCGATGGAGACGTTTTAAACTTGGGAATTACTCTTGTATGTGGTCAAGCATTTAGATGGAAGAAATTAAATAACGAGGAATGGTGTGGTGTTTTATCTGGGAAAGTTTGGACATTTAAGCAGAGCTCTGATGGTATATATTACAAAGTGAACAGTCGTTTGTCAGAGGTTGAGAGTACAACTCAAAACGAGAGCATTCTCAATGATTATTTCCAACTAAATATTGACCTTCATCATCTTTATGATCACTGGAGTAGCAGAGATGATAATTTTAAACAAGTAGCAGCCACAATTTCTGGCTTCCGACTCCTTCGACAAGACCCAGTGGAAAATTTATTTAGTTTTATATGTTCATCCAACAATAATATTGAGCGTATTAGTTCCATGGTAGAGGCATTGTGTGTTAAATATGGTGGCATTATCACTGAAGTCAATGGTGTTGTCTATCATGATTTCCCTTCAATTGCCACATTAGCTGAGCCGCAAGTTGAACAGGAACTCAGAGAACTGAAGTTTGGTTATAGAGCGAAGTTTATTCATGAAACAGCTAAAATCCTGATGAAAAAATGTAATAAAGATTGGTTGATTTCATTAAGAGAGGTACCATATGAAGAGGCACATGCAGGTATGTGTTAAATGTAGAAGGGCGAGGTCCCTGGACGGTGTTTTAAGATGTTGCTAGTTGCATGTATGTTATGTTTTGTTGTATGTTATGTTATGTTATGTTATGCGTATTGTCAGTTATTTATTAGATTATTCAATATTAATATTAACATGATTTTAGATGTAATTATTAAGGACTCGCTGTAATTGGGGACACTGTGGCGAGTATCCTGGCACTACATTGTTATAATGTAAATTTAGTAGTTGTCGAACATTATTAAATCATTAAATCATAGTATTCAAGGAGATTACCTTCAGGGTTAAATACTCTAAGCCAGAGGGTTTTTAAGGAGATATCATACTGTAGATATCAGAAGAGATATGCAGAATGTTTAAAAATGCATACCGTAATGGAACAGATGAACAGTAAAACTTTTATGTTTACAGACCTCTCAACTCTCACGCATTCGGTGTGAGCCCCACGCAATTTGCTTTGCTCTCACGCCACGTTTAGTAAATCTCACGCATATAGCAGTTTCATAGTATTTTTTCAATAATATAATATTGTATTCTTAAATGCACATTAATAATCATTATACGGATCACAAGTTGAATATATAATTGCGTGTTATTGTTCCTGCATATACGGCCCGACAATTTGCCCGCAATTTGGATACAAAATAGTATGCATATGTAAATATGGTGGACAAAAGGCAGAATTCTATATGTAAATTATCAAAGGCAAATTAAAGCTGATTACTGTATGTCACAGAAATACAGTTATATATTGTAACTAAAGTGCCTTGTCTTAAAGGATGTTATGAAGCAATGTATTTCATTAAGAAACACCAACTCTCATAATAACGAAATGCCATTTCAGACCCCCAGACGTTTATCATTTTTTAACTAACTAGGTGTCATCCACATCCCAATCTCACTCTTAATTTCTCTGCAAAGTTGAGAGGTCTGTGTTTACATTCATTTCAAAGCTTAGCCATTTAGCTTATAAGAACAAGCAAAATTGCAAAAGAGTTTAATAATTAATCTGTAGCTTATAATCGAGGCTTGCAATTCTTGATAAGTGGAGGTGTGCATCTGCAAATGCATACCATTCCCAGGATGGCCTAGATATTGCAAATATTGAACACTGGTAAATAATAATATATTTTCATCACTCTACCGATCCAGTAATAATTATACTTGGTAGTTTTAGCATATTCCTTCAACAATCAAACTGAACTACTTTTGAACATACAATAAATATTGTTATCCTGCAAGGCTGTTCTCACTGTGGTAAAAAATCCCAACAAGCAGTGACAGAATTCTTAGGGGGGACTGCCCCCCACCTATACGGCAAATTGCAGAATTTTCAAATGGGGGGGGGGGTCAGAAATTTGAAGGTTTTATTGGAAATTTAGGAGGCTTTGCCCCCACCCCCCACCGGAAAAAAATGAATTTCCGCCACTGCCAACAAGTATATACAATAATCTATCAAATTAAATATTATTAACCCAAGCACAAGAAAAATGCCATTTGGAACCCTACCACATGTGTTATATTATTTATTCCACATGAGAGCAGAGAAAAACAAAAACATTAGACCAGGATAATTTTTATAAAAACTACAAGTTATACATACTAAAGTATTTGTGAACTGCTGAATTTGAACTGTCCTAAGAAACTACGACAGGCCTAGATCATCTATTTACTATTTTATTTACCACATACACTGAACTTAATGCGTAGAAACTACAGTATACTGGTACCTGTAACACTGTACAATATGTCTGTTCAAGCCAGCTTCCTTAGTTGATATTCAATTCTTCCTGTTTTAAAATTGTATACTCAATGATTATTTTGTTTCAGCTTTATGTGAGTTACCTGGCGTTGGAGCCAAAGTGGCTGATTGTGTTTGTCTCATGTCATTGGACAAAACTGATGCAATTCCTGTTGATACACATGTATGGCAGATATCTTGTAGGGATTATAATATCCCTGATTTGAAGAAAAGCAAATCTCTGACAAACAAAGCTTACAAAGCAATAGGTAACTACTTAATTTTTGGGGAGATTCGAATTCAGATGTGTGTGGCTCAATGGAAATGTTAAGGACAAATGCGCAGGGTGGATTGTAGGGTTTAACAAATGTCAGCAACGATTAGTAGAACTTACCCTGTACAAGGGTTGGTCTCTTGTCAGTGAGGTAAACGTCTGCAAGAAAGCGACTGTGCCAACTTTTAAGAAACTGCATGGTAAAAATAGAAATCTTGGCAGAGGTTGTTGCATTGGAGACTAGACAATATGAATCAGTATGATTTCATCTTCTCTGTAAACTCTGTAATTACTCCCTACCCTCATCTTAATGCCCATGGTATTTTTAAAAGAACACATAATCTTTTTCCTCAGGAGATCATTTTCGTCAACTATTTGGGAAATATGCTGGTTGGGCTAATTCTGTAAGTTTCTATGACGTCTATACTATAATGTACTGTATGCAGTACTATACGTCAATGGGTTGTAAGTTGTGCATTTTGTCTGAACTACTTGAAACAAAACATTAAGTTAAGGAGTGAGGTATTAATTGGGACGAAAGTCCTGTTCCTCATCCCAGTCACGCACGTTTTCTTGTAACATGTTATGTATATGAATCAAGGGCGGATTTTCATTTATTTAAAAGGAGGGGTAGAAAAATTTATGGTGGGGTGCAAGCGGCACTACTCAGTGAGCTTCGGCAGAGGTTAGGCGTTTGAGTTAAAGCCTTTCACACAAAATAGGAGGGGTGAAGCGAAATCTTGGTGGAGTTGAACACTTTATTAGAGGGGTTAGAGAGATTCTAGGGGGGGGGGGTTAACCCCCCTAACCTCCCCCCCAGTAAATCCGCCCATGATATGAATGTCAGTGTAAACATTTGACAAATTTAATAATATAATAATGGGCTCAAAACGTCTAAGCGTTTTGATTTTAATTTTTTTTACCATAATCTTACTACATGCTTTTATTTCAAAAATGGACGAAGATATTTTATTAATTAAAATGTTAGCATTTAAAAAAGAAACAGTGTATAATTACTAAATACTATAGGTATATTCTGACAAACTAAGATATTTTAAATTTGCTAATATCAATTTTTGGTTGCTTTTTTATTGGTTTCTGTAAATCTGTAAATAGATTTATTTGACTCTACTATACTATACTATAGGTTTTGTTTAGTGGGGATCTTAAGAAATTTCAGGATTCAAAGGTAAATTATATACAGGTATCTTTAATATGATCTCGAACGGTCTTTGCTAGTGTAGGTAGCGACGATAACACGAACAGCTGCGGATTGAGAGGTACAACTACCTGAAAAATACTAGCAGAACGTCGGTGTTTCGAAGGTCTGGTCCGCAAAATAAGAACTTTTTTACAATATATGTGTACAGTACATTGACGTACTAAGCTTTTGTATTCCAGGGTTTTATGTGTATAAGAAACACTAGGAATAGAAGAAAATACATTATTAAATTCCCTTGTAACAAAAACTAAAAACTTAAGAAATATTTTTAACTTGCTAATGACATAATGCTAATGACATATGGTGACTTAATAGGTTAAAATTCTCATGACCGATTATTAACTGTGACCTTTTAAATCTCCTTTAGGATTTACCATCGAAATCCGAGAAAGATGATAAGAGGCTGAAAAGAAAGTTCAATAATCCCGTGGCGGTAACCAAAACCAAAAAAGGACGCAGTAAATAGGTAATATTCCATGTATATGCATGCAAAATAGCGATGAAGAAATAACCTGCACGACCCTGTTGAACTCCCAAGAGAGTTTAACTCCAAATGTGGAGTAAAATTAAGTTCAAAATAACTCCTCTGGAGTTAAATTTATTTAGTAACTTCCTGAAATTAACAAAAATACTGCAAATTCTGGTATATGACTATGAGCCTACCGATTTTATAGCATTCAATTATATTTTTCAGGCTGGCGCAAATTTACCTATTGGTATCGGTGATACCATTAATATGTAATACACATCATGATCAGTGGGTGCACTTTGGCCATGAATGGCAGAACTTACACGACAATCTGGTTTTAAATTTTCTCGTTTGAGTAAACCTCAACAGCCTGAAAATTGCAAGACAACGATATTTCGAACGAATGCCAGGTTTAGACAAAAATAGGAGACAAACAATTAAGAAACAAACAAATAAAAAGAAGCGCTGTATTTGTTAGGTTGCATGCATGCATGCATGCATATCCAGTATAATTATAGAGTAAGATGTATATGATGTAATGTCAGCGTTATACATTAAGATTCTAATCTTGTCGGTATAAGTTCGTTGTTGAGTAATGGTGTAAATTTGTTTTTAAACTGGCGAGTTTTGTTAACTTAAATACATGAATGCTGTATGACAATCCACCCATGTTGTCCCTTTTTGAACCTACTGAGTACAGTACTGTATATATATGTATATTGTTCGATTAAAAATACTACGAAATTAGGTAAAAGCAAAAATGGGCAAAACGAGAAAAAACTCAAAAACAACTTACCGCTGCTTGTTGTGTGTGTTGGGCCGATATTGATACCAAATATTTGATACGGTCGATACGCTCCGCCCATTCAAGAAGATCTTAATGTTGAAGGATGGAGGAGATAATCATGCATGATCGTGAGTTTTTCAAAGACCTCGAATTGCACTAATCCTGCGGACTCATGCTATTTTGATCGTCGTTGAAAACTCACTCGTGCATGTTTTATCCAAATTGCGCTCGAACCATCCTATTTCCTATGCTAAAATGCTGGTATAATCATATTGTGTTGAGTATGGATAAAGCGCGGTCAGAGAAAAGCATAATTGTGAGCGTACAGTAGATCTTCGTAGCCTACAGAACATAGACGGTAATCGTAAAGATCTTCGCTGACGGAATTTTTTCACGGTCGGTGCCAGTGTAGGTAGCGTCCGTAGCGACGATAACAGACGGCTGCAGATTGAGATACAACCACTGTACCTGAAAATATAAGCAAAACATCAACGTTTCGAGCAAATGCCCTTCATAGAGCTGTGCAAACTCCGGTTATTTTAGCTCCAGCAGTCAAAACTCCGGCTCCGGCAAGAATTTTTTAAGGAAATTTCATATTTAAAAGTGGAAGCAGGCGAAAGTATTTCAGTGTAATTTCAGAATTTATCTATTTTAAACACCTTTTTACAACACTATTAATAGTAAACAACATAGTAATAGTAAAGCAACTTATAATAGTAATTTATTACTAAACAACAACTTAATTTTTCCATTTAATACCAAATGTTCATTGAAATATGAAATAATTTTTCATAATTTTGTTTGCCGGAGTTTTTGCCTGAGTTTTCCGGCTCCGGCAAAATATGCCGGAGCTCCGGCACTCCGGCGCACAGCTCTAGCCCTTCATCGGGAAGTTATCTGGTATCTTTCACTAACTTCCCGACGACCAGCCTTGCGGCTCGAAACGTCGACGGTTCTGCTCAGTTAAACAACAGTCAGTAGACTGAGTCTACCAAAAGTTTGTCAAAAAATAAATAAAACTATTCTTGGTCAGTGCCCGTTAATGACATTTAAAAGTACGCTTCAGTCACACGCGCAAAAATAGAAGCAGGCCACCTCTCTTGAAACAAATTTGATTTTGTAATATCATGGATAGTTAAAAGAATATAATGGATATGATCCATGGTAATATTCAGCATATGGACAAATTATTTGTGCAAAAGATATATTTTCAAAATCGATTCAAACTTAAATTTTAACAACTTTGTCAGTAAAGTGAAATTACAGTTAGTATTACGCTGCTACTGGTGCTTTGCTGTGCAAAATTATTTTTACTGATCTACGATTAACAAAATTATTAAGTAGTGCCTACGATTATTAAATGATAATTATTTTGCCTTTTGAAGACTATATTTTGAATCAGACGTCTTGCAATCTAGTAAACTACACAAATTCGGTCTCGTTAAGCATTATGTTGCAAAATTTGCACCGTTTATATATAATATATCATTCCAAAGTCTTTTTGGAAAATGTTCAAAAACGTTTTCTTCAGTTCAATTTCAAAATGAGCTTTCTTTCATCCTTTCACCACCATCAGCCTGGTGACGCTCTTCAAGTAATCCGTAATTGTACCTTGGTAATTCATCTGATATCCCTAATTCACCAAAATTATCATCATCCCCAACATCTCTATACATATCTGGCGAAGGCACACGTTTGAGATCAATCCCTCTGCCATGTCTGTGTTTGGCCTTTGATTTCTTCTTTCGTCGGCGTCTCAGACACAACAGAATAATGCAAAGAACTGTCACCAATATGAACACGAAAACACCGATACATATTGAAACGATAAGAATCACGTCAAAACCAGGCTCTTCTTCACACGCCGGAAAACCATCGTAGAAACCATGCAAGTGACAGGATGGGACGGTCAAGACTTTCTGGCAGTAAAATGCAAACATGCTCACGGAGATCTTAGTGTGCTGTATGTCCCCAGAATGAGCGACATCCATTAGACACGCTTCGTAATAAAACAATGTTTGTGTGACAAGCTTTTCGCCACAGTATTTATACAGATTTCCAGTATAAAACAATTTGTAACATTCAGTTTTGGTGTCGTTCTGCAAATCATCTGACTCAAAGTTGATTTCATAATCACCCAAATTCGGGTAAGGTGCGCCTGATGGTTTCCACAGTGGATTCACACCTCGGGGTTTAACTTCGTATACAATTCTTTTATCTTGGGTTTTGTTCCCACGGTGGTAGTATCCAGATGTTGTTGTGTTGTCACTATAAAGTGCGTACAGTGTCCCATTCGTTGTAGTGCCATATCCTTCATCAAACCCACAAAACATGAGCAATCCGTCAATGTAGCCATGTATCTTGTCCGCCATGTTTTTAAGAATGTCCTCGTCTTTACGGGCAAACTGCCACACACGAAGCTCATCAAGTTCCAGAGTAAGCTCAATGTTCAAAAGTTCGTTCTTCTCGTCATGGCCGAAGAAAATTCCTTTATCAATATAAAAGAAATGGTTGACCCAGACACCATAGTGTATCGATTTTTCTCTTTGTCTGTCAATATTTGCCAGCATCATAACAAGTCGTCCATCGCTGTTTCTCCAAGTGAGAGAGAGATGCGTCCAGTGAGAGTGTTTCAATACTAATCCAGTATTTATTTCATATGAACCCCACGTAATAACTATCTCATTGTTATACCTGACAGTGCAGTTGCTTCCTTGGTGAACAATACTGTACAGAACCCGTTTTCCTTTTAGAACTGTTCCAACAGTCATCGCTGTTTCATATACAGATAACTTTACCCAGATTTCAATGCTGACCTCAGAAAGCACAGGGTAAGTAAAGTCAAGGATTAAAGATAAGTAATTAATCCCCAGACTCAACATATATCCACCACCTGTCCTGTATGCCATCGCATATCCTGTAATCATTCTGGTATCTCTCACTCGTATCACATTGTTAATATAATCATCATGCTTGGCCTGTGTTAAATTGGCAAGCGTTGATTGGATTGCAGTCCCATTTAATGACGTCATGTTCAATGTTTCAATGATATCTTGTTCCCAATCTCCATCCGATGATCCGCATATTCCCCGCTCACTGGTGTTCAGTCTCCTTGATGTTTCAACAGCCACGGCCAACGTGTCAAAGTATGCCAGTATTGTCAATTTAGTTTCATCTTTGTCCGTGATTTCCAAACGATTTCGATCTAACCAACGATATCTTCCTTCACTGATTGTTTGCCACGAAGTTGAATATCTTGGAAAAGAGAAATGTTATTAAATGATTGTCTTCTGCACTTTTGATTTCAGAAGGTTTTTGCGCCAAGGATAAGTTATGAATCTTGGGCAATATATTCGTTTCTCGGTATGATTTTGTTGCTCGTATTACTTCATAAAATAAACGGTAACTTTCATTTCGTTTCATTTCAACTATTTTGTAATTATCACGAGAAGTGATTCCATGCATCAGTCGAAACGCTTGATTCAATGAATCAGTCGAAACGTATTTATAGGAAGTTGCCGTTGTTGTGTATTTCATAAATGCTCAGTGATTACTGAAAGGGAGGAAACGGAGTCTCCCAATAAGCAAAAATTATGGTAATTCTTTATATGAATATCCATAAAGAGGGACAGGTGACGCGCGCCGCACCTCGATTCCCACGCGCGCGTCACGCTGCCGCTTAGCACATCAAAGCGCCTGGGTACGAGGCTAGGAGAGGGAAGCGATTGACACCCTTGATTGACACCCACGAATTTCTCAAATCGCGTTTCGTGTTTAGTGTCTACTGTATTAGACTAGAAAATACATGATGCATGCAGAAACCCTCGCCTTGCTGTATCCAAAGTATCTATGAAGTATCCAAAGTTGTTGTCATGGTAACACGATAATTTTTTAAGAATATTCTTACAAATGAAAAATCGCCTAAAAATATCACTTTTAATTACAAAATTATCAATTTCCCAACATATATATGTTAGGTATGTTATTATACGTAATATAAGCTTCAATTTAAGGTAAAATTCAACCACAAAAGCTTCGCAAAACGTTTTAAAATGTTCTTTATAAAACTATTAAAACTGCCTTTAGTTATTAAAATGCTTTATCGATAAACTTTGAGTTTGCAATAAAATGATTTCAAATTCTCGCATGCAAATAACTTTGCTTTCTTTTTTATTTAAAAAATTCAATATAGGCCTAATAAAAAAGGGAATCAATATTATTAATACACTGAAATTATATGCTGTCTTGTTTAGTTGTTTCATATACGCAAAGCCAAAGGGCCAAAGCGGCCGTCGGGTTTTAAAGCAATTATAAAATCAATATTTAAAACAAACTTACCTTCGTTGACGTCGGCTCCCTTCTTTTAGCCGATTCTTTCGCCCTTTCTTTCTTGAAATTTACAAAATCTTGCAAAAATGCGAGCAAAAATTAAATATATTTGCAAGAAATTTATCAATCATCAAATCAAGAAATGTTTGCTATTTCGCTGTCGTCATACAGTCGACAGTCGTTATAATGCAAACTTTAAATTGGACCAATCAGTGTCCGCTATTCATGACAGTCCGCCATATTTTTGAGATCAGTGAGGATGACCACCCACCGAACCACTCACGGTAACCCACGCCCGCGCTCATTGACGAACTTTAGACTTGGCTAATGCTTTCGTTTCCCCAGGTGTAAATAGCCGGGGGGAATTAGTACCCTCGCACGGCGCTTCGCGCCGTCGGCTCGGGGATTAAGTTTAGAACATGCCGTATGGCTAACAGACAAAATATTGTAAAAAACGAAAAGTTACCTTAAAGTAGTATCAGGCACCATGTTAGAGCTGAGATTGGTGAAAACCTCTCCTACATCTGACATTCTCACTGAAATATTGAAAGATTGAGATGACAACGCGATCTCCCGTATTCTCCTACATCTTGCTGAGTTTTCGCACGGTACCTGCAACACGTCCATCACACTAGATCGAGATTTGAATGCCTGAAACGGCCCTGTGATACCCAGATTATAACTAGCTCGGCTAAATGTAGTCACATGAGGGTCACCAAATGCTACACAAATGGCTGTATCACTGAGGAAGCTTGAGTTCGAGTATTCAGTTTCAACACCAATTGAACAGTTCTGATTTTGCCATCCTGAGGTACACATCGAGCAGGGCATTGGGGACAAAGTCACATTACCGGAAGTTGTGTTCTTGATGTCACCCCTCCATCTTGGATCACATGAGCATGTGCCATTCAAGGGATCACATGTCCCATGACTGCTACAAATATCCCATAGTCCTCCTGGACATAGTCCATCGCACGCTACTCCCCAATATCCATCTTCGCAGGCGCAGACTAAGGATCCATTCTGTATGCCAGGTCTTCCAAATATACAAGATGTATTACATTTAGGTCCAATCCAATACGGGAAGTACTTGGTGGAGAAAAGATCGCATAACTCACGAGCAGGCCAGAAATCTAGATCCAGGGCATCCTCGCAATAATCGGCATATGCAATCACTGCCTCTATTGATATAGCAACGGTTTGTATTGAGGCAACATCCTGTAAACACACCTTGTAATAAAACCCAGCAAGCGCCGTTCCAAGAGCATGGCAGTTATCGTAAAGAGGGCCAGCTAGTATAACAGAGTGACAAAATTCTTCAGCAAGGACTTGGAGTGTAGAGTTCGGGAATACTGCTTTGTTATCCAAACTGTTTCTTGGAATTGGAAGGTCTGAGAAATCCCAGAAAGGTTTATTGAAGAGCGGGAGATATAGCTTTTTTCTTGAGATGACGTCTACTGCAATGGATCCTTGCACTTGGTCAAGTTTCCAGAGATGCAACAAGCCAGGTAGTGTGGCTTTAGCGTTGATATTCCAGTGACGTTTGATCAGATCAGGAATTGATCGTCTGTTCCAGACACGAATTTCATCTATGTCGCCACTAAAGTCTCCTCTTGGGACATCGACTGTTGGTGTTTCTCCTGCACGCCATGAACCAATGTAAAGACGTCCTGCAGAAAGGGGGAAAGGTAATAAAGTGATTAAGGAAGGGGAAAGAATCAAAAAGTAATAAGAGTACATTTGTACGCCTTTGAGGTCGATTCCAGCACTCAAAAGAGAAAAGAGATGAAAATTTGTTCAATGCCATTCTTACCTTTACTCGCGAATATCTGTGAATTAAACTGGTAAGTTCTTAGAAGAGGCAATCCAAACGACGTGAGATAATCATGATAATAAACTTGGAGCACAAATGATGATTTTATCCATACCAACGTTATTTGTGACCAACTATTCAGACTAAGTCTTAGTCCTGTTCTGAACTCCACCGACCCATACACCACACGTATATCTCGTTCGTTTGTAAGGCTTAGGTACTCTTCTTTACCGTACGATAATAACGTCCCACCGTAACTCTTGACCTTCACAAATATCTCGATTGTGATAACGTCATGGTTACCTAGCAACAAGGTGTCTGAAACAATATGACTATCGTTTATGCGCAGATTACACCATGCCCCAGTAACATGTCTGATTTCATGAAAATTTTCATGTTTGTAGACAAATAAGCTCTCTGTTTGGCCAACTGTTCCGTTTGTGATTGCATTCTTCAGAACTTGAATATCAGTCGTATTTTGGTAAGATAAGCGCTGTTCACAAGGACCAAGGATTCCAGTAGAACGTTCACAAAGTGATGTTGGTATTCGAAGATGGATTGAAAGACTTTGGCCCACAGTCAGTATAAATAGCAGTCCATTTGGTCCAGTTATTTCGTAACGGTTCAGTGTAATTCTTGTCATACGTATGCTTACACTGAAGTAGGTTACATGGTCAACTATAATAGGTTTCCCATTGGTCCACACGAGAGGATAATAAATGTTTATGTTAGTCACACGTGATCTGATCGTGACAGTCAGGTGAACGTTGAACCGTATGGAGATACCCGTCGTGCACAGCGGTTGATACAAGTTACGATGCATACACGGTGTTTGACGAAGTTGGACGGCAAATTGCGACGATGTCGACCGAATAAGGTAAAATTCTTCGAAACTCGGAAGATAGAACGAAATTCCGAGAAAAGTTGTGAAGTATCCTTGACCTTTGATAGAGGCGATAGAGAATGTTTTAAATATGAGATGTTTTGTGGCAGCATATTGACATAGCTCACCAAACCAATCAGAACTGCATGCTGAACACATGGCATCACCTCTCCAATTGACGTCACAAGTGCACACGCCATCACTAGGGTTACACACGCCATGCCCATGACAAGGATTGATGTACCCACCTGGACATATTTCTGAGCAGTCAATTCCCCAATAACCATGGTAACACTGACATTTGTTCATATTCTTAGGATCTTTGTTTCCAAACAGGCAAGGTACGTCACATCTCTCACCAATCCAGTAAGGAAACTTGGTATCTCCAAAGTGATTACACAACTCTCGTGCTGGCCAGTTGGATAACGACAAAGACTTTTGACAATAGTGCGAGAACTGAACTACAACAGATAGCGTTGACGTCAATTGGGTGGTCCTTGCAATGGCTTGAACACAGGTCAAGTAATAAAACTCCACAATTGCTCCAAGATTTTTGCAATAGTTGTCCACAGGTCCGCGGTAGAACAGAGCCTTACACCACTCTAAAGCCGAATCATGCAATGTTTGATTTAGAAAATGGTTCTCGAAAGGTTGGTTAACATTACTCAAGTTCAATGCAATATCTGCATCAGAGAGAATCCATATCGCCGGGGACCATACTTTTGATGGTAGGTAGAAATGTTCGGTGGTAACTAGGTTATAAACAGTATCTCCCGAACCTTCGTTAAATTTCCATAGTCCAGATAAAGATGGTGTATTTGGAAGTACATTCATTCTCCAGTTTTGTTGAATAGTTACAGGGTTGAACACTCGATGCCATACTCGTAATTCGTCGATTACTCCGGTAAAGCCATTGCGAATACGAATTTCCGTATCACCAGGTGAAGGTTCCCAATAACCGAGAGTTAGAAAGCCGCCCGGTCGGAATGGATTCTCCGAGATGTTAAACTGTCTTCGATGAATAACACCGTTTGTCGTAATTAAGTATATTTCAAGGAACTGAAGAGTTTGATACCATGTGATTGATAGGTGATACCAATTGTCCACCTCGATGTAGATCCCAGTGTCTTTAGACCAGGCGCGGCCAAATTCGAGCTGAAGGGTATTATGTATTATTATTCCAAACGTTTTGTAGTAAGCATAAGACAATACAGTTCCATTGGAAAATGGTTTGAAAAGCAGTTCTATTGTGACGTCTGTACCAGTTTTGAATGTCTTCAACAACGCTTGTGAAATTATTCCATTTTGGTTGAAATGCAGAGCGTACCTTGCACCACTATACAAAATTCTTCTCAAGTATAAACTATCGACAACAACAAATAAACTGTCCTTAATATCAACTTCGTAACATTTTACCAAATCGTTGTTTAACACTCCTTGACTTACGTTACCAATAGCAATACTTTGGTTGCCAAGGACAACACTTGCGTTTCCAAGAGGCAAGTCATTCTCAGGGTCACCGTCACAGTTACCCAGGATTCCATGCGCACTACAGTTAGACTTGTTAAGATCTACATTCAATGAAAGAGCATTACCAATGACATGAATTCCTAAATAAAACACATCCTTGTGTTTTATGGTGTATATAGAAGGAGCATCCATGGTTATCACTAATTCAGCATTGCCCGTTCCAAACCGAGTCTGAGTGATGGTTTCTTGCTTATTGTTAATCCAAATTAAAGGTTGATCTTGGTTTGTTTTTGGTGCATGAATGACAAGATGTGTGCTCGACAGTTTGATTGCTACTGCTACGATACATACACTTTGTGATACGCAAGGTGCATGACGGACTTGAACTGTGACGTAATCAGCTATATACAGACGTGTTCTGAATAGATAATAATCTCCAACCACAGCAAGATGGAATGCCATACCATCAAATGTCACATAGTGAGCTGTGATGTCAACAACAGCAAATATATGCGCATGGACTGATGATCTATGTCTAACAACAGCCAATGAACAATCGACTCCTTTCCAATTCCTTGCGCATAAACCGCAATCACGTGATCCACTCCAGTTATCATAGCAACGGCATTCTCCTGTAGTTGGGGTGCAAATTCCATGGTCATTACAAGGCTGCAATGTTCCTCCGCGACATATGTTCTGGCACTCTGAGCCCCAGTAACCTCGTCGACAGATACATTCGACAGCTGATGCTTTATAGTCTCGGTTATAACACCTTTAAAGTAAGAATATTTGAGTTAATAATTTTAAAACCAATCAATCGCTTTCATTTACCAAAATTTCCAGAAGTAGTAGTTCTAAATTCTGATAATCTAAGGCCACTTACCACATTCGGGTGTTTGCTCACCCTGGTTCCAGAGGCTGTTAAAGAACGGCGAGGCAAAATAACGGCGAGGCAAAATAAATACGAGGCGAACGAGCCTCTGGTCAAATCGATTGCGAATCTCACTTCCATACTTGATCAGGTCCAGAATCTGAACCTCGCATGTGATTGGCTGTTTGTAAAAACATGTCAAACCGGTTTGTATATTAATTAACAATTATTCGCCGAAGGCGAGGTGATTATCGGTAAATAAAAACCGAGACGAAGTCGAGGTTTTTATTCACGATAATCACCGAGCCTGAGGTGAATAATTGTTTTAGTATAATTTCATAGGTGATTATTTGGAAAGAAATTTAAAAATGCACATTTCTTCGTCATTTAATTGACAAAACGGCTTCGGCCGCCATTTTGAAAATCGCTTAGGTGATTATCGCGTAATAATCACCTCAACGGCAACCAATCAGCGTGGAGAATTTTCAATAATCACCTATGTAATTATACTAATATACAGTATTAAAATCATTGCTACATTTAGCAGGCTGTAATTAGTTTAATATTAATTTGGTTATTTTCCAAACCGGTTTGACATGTTTTTACAAACAGCTAATCACATGCGAGGTTCAAGTCCTGAACTTAATTAGGTATGGAAGTGAGATTCGCAATCGATTTGACCAGAGGCTCTTTCATCTCGTATTTATTTTGCCTCGCCGTTCTTAAGAGGCTCTGGAACCAGGGTATTTTTGCTGCTGAAATTGACATGTGAATTTTATTCCGCACAACCCAGCCACTTTTGTTTTTCGTTCGTAAATCTTCGTTTCCTTTCATTTATATTGTCATGTTCAGCGAAGATTTTGTTGTGATATACTTTTAGAGCCATTTTATTGTGTATTTGAACCTTTCCAAAATACTGTTGTCACCAAATTTTTCGCTTTTGTTTTGTTTCAATAAGTTTTTTATTACAAGCCTATGGTCACTTCATCTTTGATTCAGTGACTGTAGGATTGTAATCACCTTGCCTTCTGTGACTTCGGTTAATTGGCCAGTTTTGATGTAGGAAGATTGGATTTCCTCGAGTAAATCTGCCGTTTATGACAGAGTGAAGCGGAAAGCTTCGCACAGCATTAATGTAAAGGCCGTTTTCCACTTCAAGCGCAACGCACCGAAACGTATCAAAACAAATTTTAAATTTCAAAATTTAGTGAATGTTGATTGGTAATACTTCTGCAGTACGCTAAAAAGTTGACTTGCGACGAACTTTTATTTTAATACGCGAATCAACCGGAAGTACGTAAATTTGAAAACCATCTTCAAGCTGCGCATGCACACCGGTACGTTATGTTACGATACGGGTGAAGTGGAAAACGGCCTTAGAATTATAATCAGACAACTGGATATTGCACGAATCAAACTCTGGTCATAGAGGTGAAAGGCACAAGTACAAACCACTGTGTTACCAGCTCGCTAAAGAATACGAGTTGCAGCTAATTTTAACATACTTGCGCTACATTTCGGTAAAATCGGGAAGAACACGACACTTTTGTATATAAAAGGAGCGTGTGAATTAAACAAGTCACATATTATTAGCACTGATGAAGATCCGGGCTTACGGATCGAAAGCTTTGCAGTAATAAATTTACGTGGTGTTTCCACAAACAAAAACAATTATATTTTATCGCCATGCAAACATTCAAAGAACTTAAAATCGGGAAGACACCACAATGTTTAAGTCAGAACTTACTTTTTATCACACCGACTTCCGTACCATATCGGAAACTCCTTCCCAGGGAATTTATTACACAGCATTCGCGCGGGCCACGTGGACAACTCGAGAATAGATTGACAATAATCGGAGTATGCGATTACTATGTCCAGCGATGCTGCAACATCGTTTGTTCTCATAACAACACTCACGCAAGCCTTGAAGTAATACGTTGATACTGCTGGTCCCATAAATTTACATGATGATTTCAAAGGACCTTCAAGAATAATCTCGGTACAGAATGACTTGGCTATCTCTCCAAATGTTTCGTTGAAAGGACGAGTTGTACTTGCTGTCCCAGGTAATGCAGGTTTAAGTTCAATTTGTGAGTAAGCCCAAGTGGGACTTCGCCATGGAGATGTTTCTAAACTCAGTACACTTTCTGTTATATCTTCTCTTGCAATAAGATATTCACCTTCATCAAGTTTCCATAGTCGTGCCAAGTTCTTTGTATTTATACCCACATTTCTCAACCAAGTCTGGCTAACTACAGCAGGGTGATAAGCCATTGTCCAGATTTTAAATTCATCTACATACCCGGTAAAGTAATCTCGGAGTTGTGGCCCAGATCCATCCACAGAGGGCTGCCAAGCTCCTATAGCTAACACCCCTCCGGGTGGGAAAATGTCCTCACCTATAACCAAATCCTGTCTTGTAAGTTGTCCTTGGTAGTCGAAATGGTAAATTTGTAAAACTGACGTTAGTTTCCTAAACACGAATGCAATTTGATTCCAATGGTTTAGCTGTACTGCAATATTAGTAACGAATTTCCTCTCTCCAAAATATATAGTGCAATGAGTTGAAGTGGCAGTGAGAACGAATGTTTTGAACTTTGTGTAACTGAAAATCACACCAATGCTGCTGAGTTTGATATAAAACTCTATGGTGATATCATTGTGCTCAAAAGGTTGCTGTATTAATCCCGAGACAATAGCTGTTTGATGGAAGTGTAACGCGTATCCTGCATTAGAGTTTCGATATTCGTGGTATGACTCGTAACGATACACGAAGAGACTGTCACACGCATAAACTTTGAGATTTCGTACCAGTTTTCGGATTGCCTCGGAAGTCACATTCTTCATGTCATACACATTGGCGGTAAGACTTTCCCTTACAGAGGTGTCGTTTTTATCCGTGCAGTTAGTGAGTGGGAAACCAGGATCCAGACTAGCCAGGAATGGACTATTACATGATCCCAGTATACCATAAGAATTATCACAGATTGCACCTGAAACCTTTGATACCAGATTGAGGTACCGACCTCGCACTCGGATGGATATTTTGAATGTAGAATACTCGAAGATATATACGGATGTCGATTCTTTCAGAAGAGAGAAGCCATACACTGAGGTTGTCACGTGATGGAGGTCTAAATCGATAAGGGAGCCATCAAGCCATATAACTGGATAGCGATTGGTTGTATAAGGACCATGTAGAACTAAAGTGTGGCTAGCTGTACGGAAAGCGATTGAATTGACGCAGGATGAAATACCGTAGCAGTGTACAAGGCGAATTTGAACTGAGAAATGCACATGTACGGAATAGAAAAGGTAATATTCTCCTATAACGCTCAAAGTAAAGCTGTGACCATCGAGAGTTGTAAATAATGACAAACCAAACATACCAGAGAATCGAATACCACCACTAATTATAGTCACCTTTGATATGGCAAATGAACAATCGCTCCCAGTCCACTCAGCGGCGCAGGTGGAGCAGTCGTCGGTACCAGTCCACTCCAACTCGCATAAGCATTTACCGAAGATTGGATCACAGGTGCCATGGTTCGTACATGGGGACTTAGTTCCGCCCGGGCAAGTTTGATCACATGCCACTCCCCAGTAACCAAAGTTGCATTTACATTTTTCCGGATTATCCTTATCTTTCATGCCAAATACACAAGGAATGTCACAGTTTTTACCAATCCATTTTGGAAACACCTCTCCAGGGAATTTGTTACATAAAGACTGTGCTGGCCAAAGGTGAAGATTCAATGTTTTCATGCAATAGTCTGAGTATAGCAAGACACTTTCTAAACTGCTGGTATTTCGTCCTGTATCAGTTACTGATTCAACACACAAATCATAATACTGTCCACGTATTATAGAAGGTAATCTAGAGCAATAATTCAGCAAAGGACCTCTTCGGAAGACTCCGGAACACGACGTATTCGCCAGCTGGTTGATAATACTATTGTCCAAACTAGACCTGGAAATGCCCATATAAGGGATCGGTAGATCTGAGTAGTACCATACAGGTTTATTCCACGGCTCACCAGGGAAATACAGATGATTGTTTCCCAAAAGATCACTAACTACACTTCCTACTCCTTCATTGAATTTCCACAACCCAGTCAGACCATCAATATCAGGCGCTAGATTCACTAACCAATGTTGTTGTAGTAATGCATAATCAAATGCGCGGTTCCAAGTTCGAAATTCATCAATTTCTCCAACGAAGGTCGTAGTAGGCATGACTCCACGCTGACCGCTAGGCGAAGGTTGCCATGCGCCGATAGCAATAGTTCCTCCGGCCAAGAAAGGATTTGTGATGACTTTGAAAGACTTACAGAGCAATGTACCCTGCGATAATGTAAGGCAAATTGCCATTTCAAGTTTCAAACTCCAGAATGTCATTGTCACTTGGTTCCAGTGCTTTACTTCAACCCGCAAACCTGTATCATAGACCTGGGTCCCGACGATCACTCTCAGGGTGGAATAAGTCGATATGTAAAACATCTGAGATGAAGTGTACGACAAGATGGGTCCTCCACAGATTGCAGGCGCACAATTTATTTTTACCATGATTTCAAACGTAATCACATCTTCAATAAATAGGTGTACAACCGGTTTTGAAAATATTGCAGTGAATTTGAAAAACAGGGAGTAACCTCCAGCGTAAACTACAACAGTCTCGTGTCGTTTCTTGTCTAATATGATCACCCGAGATGATGAGGGAGATACCCCAAACACTTTACGAACAGCTTCGTTGATATCAGTCGCATTAAGTAAATCTTTTAAAGAAGGTACGGATGTATTACTTGAAGACGTAGTAGTATTGCGAGATGTTGAGCCAAGAAGCCCGCCAAGTTTCTCGCTCAATGCAGTCGAGATTGTTGTTTCTAAAGTCATGTGCTGTCCATTGATGTTTACTCGAATTCCCAGCTTATCTCCATAATTAACTTGTACTTCATCTGGACCTGGGAAAGTGATATTAACTCCGGTCAAACCTGCGTCACTTATATCATTTTTATCTATAACTGTCCCATTAATATTGATAACAGGATCTTCTCCATTTCCATACGGGGCATGAACACTTATACTGGTAGAGTTCACCGACACTCCCACAGCATTAAAACATAAAGATTTTCCATTACGACACGGCACTTGACGTACTTGAGCATCAACATTTTCTCCTTTCAAAATCGTAAACTCCCCGACGTTGTTCAGGCGGAATATTGTCCCATCCCCTGCAATTAGAATTCCACCCGATCCTGCCGCGGCAGTAACCGAGGTTGTTGGTTGAAGTGACTTGGGTACAGCTATTGCGCACTCACTTCCCACCCACCTCAGAGTACACCTGTTACAACCAGAATCACCACGCCATTTCCAGTCGCATGTGCATATGCCAGTAATGACGTCACATTTTCCGCGTTTGTTACAAGGATTGGACGCACTCCCCGGACATTCTTGTGAACACATGACTCCCCAATATCCTTCATCACAACGGCAAGTATTGTTCTCGATGGTGCCGTAAATGCATATAATATCACACGCAGTTCCTGACAAGTCGTCGTAACGCTCGTCAGTGAAGACGTCACACAAGTCGTTTCCAGGGAGGTTGGTGAGATTTCGCGCGACCTGACATTCCCTAGCATAAGACATCACAGAGTCCTTTCCAGTGTCAATGGAACCACTTGACTGGACATCTTGCAAACATGCTTTGTATGAAAAGTCTTTTCTTCCATCCATTTGCCCACAAGAATCATTCAATGACTTCGAACTAAAAATCTTCCCACAAAGTGACACTGTTTCATTGTCTGATGTCACTGGTGTAGATGTCACTTCAGATTGTACAGTAATGAAGAGATCAGATGGCACCCATACGGGTGAATTCCACGGAGGTCCGGGGAGATTAAAATGCAGGGATCCCACTAGATCTCTTGCAATCCATCCCGTTCCTTCATTGAACTTCCATAACCCTACAACACCCTCGATACCTTGCACAATACTAACACCAACATAGTTGTCGATCAAGGCGGAATCAAAACGTTTATTCCAGACCACTAGTTCATCAATCCAGCCAACAAACCCTCCGGGGGAGGTGATCACCCCGGTTGTAGCCTGCCAAAGACCGAGTGCAAGCTTACCCCCGGGTTCAAAAGCTCCCGTCCCAATATTTATCGCTCTCGTTACCAATATCTTCACAGAATTTCTAACATACACCTCAAGTATTCCAACAACACGATGATAAACAAACGTGATATGATTCCAATTGTCCAGTTCTGGAAAGATATTGGTATCGTAAATCTTTACTCCAAAATGAATTTGTAAAGTCCCGTTTATTCTGAAAGCGAAGTTTGTATTCAAGACGAACGAAAAGATTGTCCCATCAGTATGGAGTTCTTTAACTTTAAGATGAAATTGAATGGTCAGATAATTTCCATGAAACACGTCCACAAATGGCGGCGTAATGAGAGAATTCTTGGAAAAGAACAAGCACGTGCCAGCTGCTGTAATTATGTTGGTCTCGTCAGCAACCGCTAGAACGTCTCGGAACTGACTTTCATTTCTAGGAATTGACCACGTGTTGATAAACTCATCAACATCCTGTTGACGTATCGTTGACTTGTTAAAGCGTTCCAGAAGCCCAGCTGATGTACAATTAAGATTTTTTGAGTTCCCACAATTTCCAAACAATCCACAAGTATCGCGACAGAATGATTTATCCATAGTAATTTGAACACCAAAGTAAACTTGTCTATAGTAGAGCAGCATAGTGAAGCCTTCAGGTCCGCTGATTTCCAGTTTATTGTGAGAACGTTTGCGGTAAACAAAGCCGGATCCAATTGAAAAGTGTTTGTTGTAATCTATGGGCTTTCCATTGAGAGTAATTGTAACTCCTGTCTGTACTCCACTATGAATGGCCAGTACTCCTACCGCAGTTTGAACTACAACACAGCGAACTCTTACACCTGTACCATACATTACTTGCCGAAGTTGAACATTAATACCTAGTCTTCCAGATACAATCGCGTTGAATTCGCCAGAACCACGATAAACCCAAGCAGCTCCACTCAAACCAATGAAATTTCCATTTCCTGACAAAGATATCGAGGTCTTACTCCCTGTGGCTATAAAGCCTCTGATGTTTAACGAACAGTCGATTCCGTAGTAGCCAGGTTTACAGCGATTACAAGATGATCCATACCAATTATAGTTACATGTACAGCGGCCCGTTGTTTGAGAGCACGCGCCATTTCCATAGCAACGACTTGTGATACCACCGGGGCAAACACTAGAACAACTTGAGCCGTAGAAACCTGGTAAACATGTGCAGCGGTATGCCGTTCTTGTAGCAAAGTAACAAGCCTGTTGACAAACAGACCCAGTCCATGGAATATGTGGTGAGGCAAGGAATGATGGGTAATTACAAAGTGTGCGTGCAGGCCATGTGATTAGACCCAGAGAAACTTGACAATAATCTGAATAAGCAACAACAATAGTTACACCTGGTATGACGTCACCACTCACTGACGTCACCTCTAAGCATGCGCGATAGTAGACAGTTCGACTCGGAGCTCCAAGTCCTCGGCAAATCCGACCGACCGGGGAGTTTAGAATATGCCCTGTGCACCACTCTACCATTTCCTTGGTAGCAACAGGAGTCACTGTTGGTAATATAGTCACCAGAGCCGTACTATACACCCACTCAACGCTTTGCTGGACTTCTTGAATATACAAGTGAACATGAGATTTAATGTCTTTTACCACGATACCTTGTCCTTCGTTGAATTTCCATAAGACCGCCAGATATTTTGCAGAATATTGAACGTTCACTCTCCAAAAAGATCTGATATCTGCTCCAGAGAACTGCCTGTTCCAGATACGAACCTCGTCTATCTTTCCCCGGAAACCTGGTGACCTAGTCACAACTACACTTCCTCCTGGAATCCATTGTCCAATAGCAATTTTACTTCCGGCGGCAAACATATTGCTGTGCGTATATATCGACTTTACAGTCACGTGTCCTTGGCTGTTTATGTGGTGGAAAAACACACGTCCAAATGCACGATTGTACACAATAGAGATCTGATTCCACACGTTCAGAGATGTCTTTATTCCTAAATAATTTGAAAAAACTTTGTGAAGTCTACCAAAGGGATATGTATAACAAGTAAGACCATCACATATGAGAAACAGCGCGTTTATTCTCTTTGTGGATGTATCTACCTGAAAACATTTTCATGTATCGATTGAAGGCTCTTCGTCTGGAAGGTAGTAAGTTGGCTACTAATACACAGTATTACCTATAAAGTTGTTTTGAAAAATGAACGTGGTCGAAATTCGTGTCTTTAGCGTGTATGAATGTTACAAGTCAAGATTGAATCCTGATGTAGAGAATCCTATAGAGTGTATCGTAACGTTCCCTACCTTTTTCTTTCAAAGATGACATGATAATCGATATTTTAAATACGCATTGGTACTAAATGAAAAAAAACCCCACTAACCTGTGTGATTAACCATATCGTTCATTCTTAAGCAAAACTCTCCATTGGACAAAACAATAGAGAAAATATTTTCTTTGCTGTAAGTAAACAATGTTCCACTTCCATCAAAACTTAAATAAAGCAACTCCACAGTCACATAACTTTCGGTAAAGACTTCACCAATTATATCCGTTGTTATCCCCACGCCGGTAAACTTCAAAGCATATTCTGCACCAGTTAAGACATTTGAGAAATCTTTGTAACCAATCGCAGCTGAGAACAGACTTTGCGCAGGAAGAACTCGGAAAAGGTTTTCCAAGGGTGTTCCTGAGGTGCCAATATGATCATTATTGCGTAAACCGTCACAGCTTCCACCTAATGCCACCGAATTCCCGCATACCTCCTTCGGAGCAACGATGATATACTGCAGTCCGCTCTCTGTGAATCTTATTCTTATCACGACTTCGTAAAGTTGTGATCGTAACTCCAAAGTCACTGATGTAGTTTGAACCAAAGTAAACTTATCTTCAATTGAAGTGACAATTTCGTTGAGTTCAAGCCTCTTCTTGTTTAGCCAAAATACAGGATGTTCTGTAGACGAGTATTTGAAAGAAAAATACAGTGTTATTAAGTTTGCAGCACTATTTACTATTCTTCCTGCTATTGGCTAAATAATATCTTATTCCTGTTTGCATAGCGTACATTCACATCAACTGAAACATCACTTTTTACACATTCACTCCTGAGGCAGGTTGTATGAGAAGTATTCAAGTTAACTGTATAACAAGTTAGCGCGAAAACCAACCAATCACAATTGTGTATTTCAGATTTAACTACCAAGCGGTTAGTTAAAAAGTAGTTACACGTTTTAAATAACCGACCCTACGTTGGAACACGTTTAATTAAGATGGCATTTTTAACCTATTAGTTATTCTAGAACCCTCACTTTAGTAATAATTAGAGGTGTGCAAATCCGATCGGATTCGTTCGGATTTCGGAACCAAAATATTCATATCGGATCGGATGGATACAGTTGTTTAGTATTCGGATCGGACCTCGATATCCGAAATAAAATGAATTAATTATCCACGCATTATCGCAAGAATTAATTATCCATGCATTTATCAAAGCATTATCGCCGTTGTCGCTGCATTATTCGTTTGATACTTCACAGTGGACGTCACTTTGTCAGCTTCTTGACATGTATTTCTTGCTTTTATATTTATTTGGTTAAATATTTCAACTTGAATGACAAATTTATTTTATTAAAGAATTCATCGGATCGGATTGGAATTCTTTATCAAAACAAACTCGGATCGGATTCGGATTAGACAATTTCGGATCGGATTTTAGACATTAGGCAATTGTCGGATTATAAACGTCTAATCCGATCCGATGCACACCTCTAGTAATAATGTGTTACCTGTTCCAGGGACTGAGGCTAGTATTATCAACTCCATTTTGCTCTCCAGTAAGAACGCAAGACCATCAATACATCGGAAACGTCCGTTACGACACGGAACTTGACGAAGATGTACGACAATTTCCGTGCTCTGTACTACTTTGAATTCCCCAGTGGCGAAGAATGTAAACCTTATTCCGTCGAATGTTTGATAATGTCCGCCAGTTAACCCAGCAGATGACGCGTTTCCATGAGTTGCTAACGCTACACTACACTCTTTTCCGTCCCAACCGGGGGTGCACGTCGTACAGTTCTCATTACCCTGCCAGTTGTAATCGCATGTACATTTCCCAGTATTTGAATTACATACTCCCCTGCCATTACAAGGAGTGATCGCACCCACCGGACACACAGTGGAGCAATTCTCGCCCCAATATCCAGTATAACATACACAACCATCAAACGTGACTTCACCAAACAAACACGTGACATTACAATGCGGACCTTTCACAACACCCACATACTCCTTTGGTATTTCATTACAGTAACGGTCAAGAGGCCACGTCTCTAGTTCCAGGATGTTTCGACAATAATCTGCGTAGCTAACGATAGACTGAAATGCTGACGTCACCACGCCAGAAGCTTTTACATCATCCGAACACCGGGTGTAATAATATTGCGCGTGCGCTAACCCCAATACATTCCCACACTCGCCATTATACAAAGTATCTATTATAAACTTCTTACAAAGATTTTCTGCTTCTGTTTTCAATGTTATATTGCTCCAGAGTATATTGTCGTAGGAAACTACAGGTGGACTTGTACGGGCGTAACTGAACACCCAACGCGGACGAGCCGTCGGTTCAACTGGCAACCGTAAGTCGTTGCCACCTATTATGTCATGCGCAATCGTTCCTTCACCTTCATCAAACAACCACAGCGAGACTAAACCAGTAGCTTGATACTTAATAAGACGCTCTCGACTTTGCTTCACAGCTGCGGCCTCAATAGTAATATCCCAGATCCTGATTTCATCAATGTAGCCAAAGAAAGGTTTTCTATTAACATCAGTAGAACCATTGCCTGTGGTTTGCCAATGTCCTACAGATAGTACTCCACCACTTGTGTACAAGACATACGGTACAAGCATTGTCCGCTGGCGTATTAAACCACCAGCATCTAAACAATACACACGCATGATCCTAGTACGCCTGCTGAATGTTATTGCCAACCAATACCACTGTCCAGCAGTCAACCGTATCCCAGTGTCCATAACATCACTTGAAAACTGAATCTTTATCGTGGCATCATTAATAATCCCGAATGTATTTACTGAAGCATATGACAAAATCGTCCCACCATGCTTTTCGATCTTAACAAAGAACTCAAATGTTGCATTCTCACTAGTTGTAAATGACCCGTATATTGCACGTGTGTCAACCGCTGTTCCGTTATATTGCAGACAATACTCTGATGACGACATTTCACGTTGTTCTCTTTCTTTGTAAACAAACATTGAATTCGGTGGAAGCACGCTCCAATTTTCTACAAAGGTAGAAACGCTTTGTCTTGGATTGTCTATTGACCTCTTTCTTCTACGTAATGTTGATTCAAAATCGTTCGCAGTGTTGTTGTCACAAGACGAACACAAACCAGAAATATTCCAACATGTTTTGACATCACTAAATAAACTAAAGCTCAAGTACTTGTCTTGTGCTCTGACTTCAAGCACGCGCTCCCTTCCACGTCTGATTCTGAATAATCCAAGTTGTTCCTGCCTGAACTCATAACCTCCCTCAACGTACCGCCGTACTGTGTAGTCTGTTTTGTATTGATCAATGTACAGCAATGGTTTTCCTTGCTCTTCGTATGACGCACGTAACGTGAGGTTCACTTTCCCAAGACGCAATGCAATGGCAGTTACACAACTGCTCGAGTTCATGCAAGGTTCGTGCCGGATCTGTGCGATGAAGTTGGTTGATCTTATTAAATAAAACTCCCCGGAGGTTTTGACGTCGTAGCTACTTCCATCAAACGTCGTAAAGTGTCCCCCACCGTAACTCTGACACACAGGAGTCGTTTCCAGGCTTCTCGCATTGTTAGTTATCGCAATAGAACATTTCTCCCCAGTCCACCCAGGTGAACAGCTCCGGCAGTCACTACTGAGGTTTGCATTTAATGGACATGTACACGTACCTGAAAGTTTTTTACACTCGCTAAATCCTCCACACGGGGTGGCATAACCTCCAGGGCATTCTTGGTCACACATTTTGCCATAGAAGCCGGGTTCACATTGACAGTCGCCATTTCCAAGCGTACTTCCAAACTTACAGTGCATTTGACATTGTAAGCTTACCCAATTCGGTAGTTGTATTTTTTCCAATTGATCACAGTATTTATCTCCAGGCCATTGATCTACACCGAGGCTCACTTTACAATAATCTATATATGTAAAAACGCTCCAAACTCGCTCCGTAATTTCTCCACTGGCCAAAACAAGTTTATAACATGCCATGGTATAGAATATTTTTACGTTAGAGTCCAAAACATTGCATTGTTTTCCATAACTCGCGCCAAATATTTCTTCCTTACATACTGTTTCCACTGATAACTTTTCATTCAACGTTAGGTTGCCTTTATTAATAATACTTCGCAGCTCCAAATTTGCACTGGAGTAAACCCAAATTGGTCCTTGCGCTTGCACAGGGAACTGGAAGCGAACTCCTGCTACGCAGTCTGTTGCCAGGTTACCTTGACCTTCGTTAAACCGCCACAAACTTGCAAGATCCTTCGATGTACAATCTAAAACTGTTAGTCGCGAACTTACTATCTCTGTAACTAACCTTCGCTTGTTCCATATACGAACTTCGTCTACCTCTCCAGTAAAACCTCCTGGTGTCGTACTTCCTGACGCCCCTCCCGAAGGATACCAATATCCGAGGGTTAATGTTCCGCCAGGTGCTAAGATATCTTGGTCGCTGTTAACTGGGAAATTCCTAACCTGTGTTTTCTCCGAGTCGTCGATAAGGACAAACTGGATAATCCGGTTTCTCTTAAGCCAAATCAAGGAGATCAGATTCCAACGGTTTTGTTGCAGGTTTAAGAAAGTATCAAACTCTTGGGAACCATAAGCTATCCTTACTGTTGTTTTGACAACTATAGCGAGAGTCGAAGTGGTGGCATACGAGAATAGGGTACCATCAATACCATCAGATTTTACCATCATTTCTATGGTAATATCCCCACCAGCCAAAACAAACAAGTTTCTAGATGTAATGCCTGTATCTTTGAAACGAAGACAGTACAATGCATCAGTTTTAAAACGAGGTTCGTTTACTCCACCAGTGTTAAATATAAAAAGAGAGACTGAATTACCCAATACTTTCCAAGAACGTACAAACGTGTTAATGAAACTTTGAGAGATTTCGTGGATAGTTGAGAAATTTTGGGAAATATTGAAACTGTTTCTAGGGATGAAATCGTTAATGGTGTTACTATCACAACTACCCCATAATCCTTTACTGCGTGAGCACAATTTTGCGTTGGTTAAAATGAAAGCAAGGTCAATATAGCGTTCAAATATTCTGATATCCAGAAGTAGGTCCTCAGAATAGAACTTGAAACTTCCCCAGGACGATCTTTCCAGGGTGAAAGTATTTTGATCTGAATTAAACAACGTTTTGAGAGAGAATGACTGCACTTTGTCAATCCATAACGTGGAGTCACCACCATTTTGGTATGGTGCGTGAATCGTTATCACTGACGTCATTGTTGCCATGGCAACAGCGTTGATACACCTTTCAGATTGATAGCAGGGAACGATGTTGATTTGAACTTCCAGATCATTTGAGGAAAACATGATATACTCGCCAGTTCCCTCAACACTATAGCCAACTCCGTCAAGTGTTATAACATCTCCATAGCCTGTGCAGACCGCGCTGAGGTTAGAAGTCCTGGTGATGATAACTGAACAATCGTCACCAGTCCACCCAGGGCTGCAACCAGAGCAATTCAAGTTTCCGCGCCATCTAGGTTCGCAGACACATATTCCAGTTGTTTTGTTGCAGACCCCGTGACCATTGCATGGAGACGAGGCTCCACCTGGACACTCTTTGTCACAACTGCTATCCCAGAAACCATTACGGCATAAACACTGTTTGATCTCCTATTAATAAAAAAGTAGGCATACTTCATCTTAGGTAGACTCGAGATTTGACCCTGCTCGACCGTTTACTTTTTTATTCATTTGCGCATTTTAAAATATAAATCAACACTTAAACATACAGAATAGAGAAGTTCATATTTGACTTTCACTACCGTTATCGCTACTTCTCACTTGCTTAGGGCGCATCTGACTGGTTAATCGGATATATCGAAACGCATCTGATTGGTTAATAGACCATTAATGGTAGCGCTAGTCAAACCTGAACATCTCTAATGTTCTCGTGAGTGCAATAACTCATTGTGAGGGTACATAGTGTTCCAACTTTAGCTCACAGCGATAGTTGCTCACAGCAACTTTAGCTCATATTATTTTTGTCACGTTGTTAGTAGCATTCCAAACATTTACTTCTAATATGTTTATTTATAATTAAATGTGTCTTTCATGAAAATAAATAAATGTTATGGAATGACTTACTATTTGTGTTGAGTTTTCAATTCCAGAACACGTTGGATATTGTACATTACTGGGATCATATTCAACAAAATGTCTTGTGTTAGAAACTGGATACTCTAATACCCACACCACAGGAACTGTCTTCTTGAACCTGTAATGATTATTATTATTATTATTATTATTATTATTATTATTATTATTATTATTATTATTATTATTATTATTATTATTATTATTATTATGATTAATTTGTTTGGGCTAGGGACCTTGAAGAAACCCTTTCAGGCTTTTGGTTGAAGGCCCTTAATTTAGCAATAATTATATTATAATTAAAAGAAGAATTATAAGATGTCGATTAAGAAATTAGATTTATCTAACATTTTGATATAGAATTTCTCAATTATTATAAAGATTAATTAATGTTCTATTACTGTCAGAAGTACGTTCTAAGAAGAATGTTTTGATTTTTTTATGATAACAAGAAACAACTTACATATTAAGTAACATTGGTAATTATTTCACTATTATTATTGGTTAAAAAAGCAAGGAAAAATATAGCGTGCCTCGGAATGCATTTTCCCAAATAAGCAGTTGCGAGCGAACTATATCCTCTAATATACCTTGAAATCGTATGATGAAAATCAATACCCGGCAAGATGAACGTAAAAGAGCCATCACAAATGAGATAACGCACATTATGACTGTACGTACATTATGCTGGGCATCGTAAACACCCAAAAATATCTACGAGAATTAGACAATACAGACTGTTTTCTATGGAGAACCTAGCCTCTTCTGCGGGTACTCTTTAGAAAACGATGCAAATTATGCAATATTCGAAAGCAAGTGAGCATCGTTTATCGTTAGGTTTTCACAATCAAGTGCTCGACAACATATTGCGTAATTCTGCAGTCCCTGACCAGGCTATAAAAAAGCGCTTTCACAACATACACTATTCTTATCAGACCAAAACTTACTTCACTGCAAAAACATTCTTGTACACCCCAGGTAGAAACTTTCCTGGCTGTCCAAGGTCTTGCTCAATGACTGGGTTCGTGTGCTCTGTGGTGCGTGACGAAATTTCCAGAAATCCTAACTCTCCCCCTGGCTCTATAGATGGCGTGGGGGCGCTGAAGAAGTTGAGAGGTCCTGGATCGAGGTATACATTATGAGGATTTTTATTGTGGTAGCCAAACCAAGCCAAATTATAATCATGGGATTGGCTGATGATGCAACTTAATATAGGTATTACGGATAACTTTTCAGAGCCTGCATCTCTCGGATCTTCGTATTGCGCATGCTCAGTGTAACATAAAATATCACAACTCTCTCCAACATGCGTTAGATCACAGCTTGTGCATTCAGGTTGGTCCCAGCCCTCTTGACATACTGCGCAATCTTTACCTCTCCAGTAACCAACACTGCTGTCATTGTGACACACACAATTATCTTGTCTCACACCAGATGCATTTCCATGGAAACAACTGACATTGCATCCGATAGGCCAACCAATAAATCCATAAACACAGTCCCCGCAATTTGCTCCTGTATACCGCTGAGCACATTGTTCACAGGCTTGTCCCACGAAATTATGCTGGCATGCGCAGTGAGGTATACGGTCACCTTTACTTAGTACACAGTTCCCGCGGTTGTTACAGGGAGGATTCCCAGGACAGAGTAACTTGCTACAATCTGGTCCACCAAAACCTTGATTACAGAGACATTCAGGTAGAACATTTTCGGATGCCCGTATACACACACCACGCTGGAAACAATCAGGATCTCCAGGACAATCCGAGAGTTCACAAAGATCGCTTTGCCACCCTTCTTGACACACACATGTGTTGTTTGTGCATGTGCCGTGTGCTGAACACCCGAGATCGCAGGCTTGGCCTGAGTAGCAGGAATCACATTTACATATAGCGCTGTTAGGCGGATCTTCATTGCCATGTATACAAGGTAACACGCACGCTCTACCCATGGTATTGTCAGTACAGTTTACACACCGTGGTGGTTCGACACTTCCATCACATGTACCCTTACCATTACAATCAGGAACCCCGGGACAATCAGGGTTTTCACAACCAATCCCCTTCCATCCCTTATCACAATGACATTCTTGATTGAAACTCAGACATCTTCCGTGTCCACTACAATCCTGCCCTATCCCTGGACATCCTATCCTGCCACACGTGTCACCGCGCCACCCTACATCACACTTGCATGTTCCATTTTCACACTGGCCATGACCGCTGCACTCTTGACCGCAGTCCACGCCACTGTAGCATTTATCACATCGACACTCTTCGTCATTTGTCGCAGACGTATCGCCAGTAATCGTAACCACACTTCCGTTAAAACACCGTCGCTCGCATCCTTTACCAAAGTAGGTGTGGTCGCAGGACGTACACACCGGAGGATCATATTTCTCTCCATCACACGTACCATGGTTACTACAGTTTCCTCCTCCGGCGCAATGCGGAATCTGACAGCCCACGCCTTTCCAGCCTGGGTTGCACGTACATTGTCTTAATGAAGGGATACACACTCCGTGTCCACTGCAATCACTTCCCCACCCTGGACATCTTAGCACATCACATGTTGCCCCTCGCCATCCATCAAATCCACAGTCGCAGGTACTGTTCAGACACATTCCTCTTCCTGAGCACTCTACGTCACAACTTATCCCACCGAAACAATCTTTGCACTCACAATACTCCTGATTACCCACTGTTTTCACCACTGTTCCGTTGAGACACCTAGTTTGACATGCATCGTCCATCCAGCCGTCATCACAGGTACATGCAGGGATATTTGAGGTCACAACACACTTGCCATGACCACTACACTGTGGCCAGCCGGGACATACAGGGATATGACAGCCTGATCCAATCCATCCACTATTACACTCACATACACGCTGCGCGCTGAAACAGGTCCCGTGACCAGAGCAGTCGATATTATTTAACCCAGGACAGCCTAAACAAAAGACAGAATTACTATCGAATGGGTTTTAATACAATCTAATCTTGGTTGTCATTTAGTCGCGGCTATCGTGGCTAAGTGATTGTCATCAATATAAAATACACTGTATATTATGTGCTGTATCCAAATCTGGCTATACTGATTATATATACTGCTATATATATATATATATATATATATATATATATATATATATATATATATATATATATATATATATATATATATATATATATATATATATATATATATATATACATATATATATGT